GGGACGGCGGCGGGGGCGGCGGGGGCGGCGGGACGGCGGCGGGGGCGGCGGGACACCGGCGTGGTCTCCACCTGTGTAAAGGTGCTGGGCAGGATGAGGCCCTTGGGCTCAGCTTGACTTTGGTGGTAGCCCCGCCCTGAGCACAAGGCTCAGTGGGATGACCCTCCCCCCCGCCCCAATATCCTTTTGTCTAAACTGATCCCTGATCGCAGCCAAGTATTTCCTGAATCCATGTCATCTCCCCCCGTGGAAAGGTGTTGGGCAGGATGAGGCCCTGAGCAGCTCAGCCTGACTTTGATGGCAGCCCCGCTTTGAGCACAAGGCTCAATGGGATGACTCCCCCGCTAAAGATCCCTTTCGCTGAATTCGTCACTGACCCCAGCCAAGTATTTCCTGAATCCGTGTCATGCGCAGAGGAAAAAGAAATTTAGTTTTAGTTAAAAAAAAAAATTAACGTTTGGTTAATGTTTTTCGGCGTGCTCACATTCTTTTTTTTTTACTGAAAACTTTTATTTCTCTAAAACGTATTTTACCTGATTAAAAAACCCAAACAACCCGATAATGAATAAAATGCCTAATTTTTGGTCAACAAAAACATTCTGCACAATCCCTAAGTCTTTTGGTGGATCTTTTCTCATCTCCTGCAAAATATAGTACCTTTGGTTTCGACTAATCCAAAACAAACTATTAATAACCTACACTGCAGGGAAATTGAAGGAAGGCTAGAGCATAGTTTACCTACTATATTTACTCCTGCAACATTTACTGTAATATTTACTCCTGCTATCTTTACTCCTCAGGGTGGCTGAGGGCTGGCTGTGGTCTCTGGCTTTGCACCCTTCCTGATAAGAGCAGTCCTAACCCTAAGGTCTATTCCATGGCAGCCACCACCCATGGGATGGGATGTGGGCCACTCACCGAGTGGCTACCCTGCTGACACATTGACAGTGGCTGTGCAGTGATAAAAAATGGGAGATTTTTTGAGGATACTCAGAAAATTTAGAAACATTGAAGGGAATATTGGTAACGGGGTGTCATAAGGTGGTTAATGGTAACAGAATGTGTTTAATTAGTGGCATTTAGTTATTGGTTTGTGAATGTGAGACAGGAGAAGCAAGATGGAGCGGTTCTGTCCTCTGTAGGTGTAGTGTTTTTTAGTGTACCCATGGGATTCCAGGCAGCTCTTACCCTACAGACCTGACACAGTTATAGTGTAATACATTGTGGAATAATGGGAGTGTTTGAACTGCTTTGTGTGAGGAGGAGATGGTCAAACCTGGAGTAACTTTTTTTTTTTATTATTATGGTTTGTTAAAAGAAATTGGTCTGCAAAATGAAAACCTTGACTGCAATCTGCCCTGGCTAAAGGTGCTCTGCAAGTGGTAGCATTTTGGTCCACTGTTGGTGAGTACTTTGCAACTGCACACTGATAGAGTCACAGAATATTTTGGGGTGGAAGGGACCTTAAAGACCATTTCATTCCAACACTCCCTCACTCGACCAGGTTGCTCAGAGCCCCATCCAAGCTGGCCTTGGGCACTTCCAGGGAGGGGTCTAATGCTAAGCTTTGTGTGGTATTCCCTGCAGTGCTGCCTCTCCATCCACAGTGGTGTCAGCTCTGCCCTGTTTGACCAAGACGTGGCCTTGGCTACACTTGTGATTGTGTTGTAAGTGAATATGAGGATAAAGCTGTGAAGAAGCTCCTGCTACTACAAAATACTGCACATGTCCCTCAGCTACCTGGACTTTTGCAAACTCATTAAGCAAGTCACTTATTTGATGTGAAATTCTTGTTTCAGGCATTGATTTACATATCTGAAATGTCTCTGGAAGATTGTGTTTGACAAATTTCCTTCTCTGTGATGGCACATCTCTCTGTAGTAGTGTATCCTGTCCATGTGGGAATCAGAACTTTTGTGGAAGTAGCTCAGCTTCCAGAGAAACTGTATACCTAATGCCAGGACAAGTGTGCACTGCCTTTTCATCAAAAGAACAATATTTAACTGGTGTTCTGCTAAAACATGACTTTTTCTCTGAGAGAGTGGGCTAGAAGAGGGACTGTTTTGTGTAACAAAACCACACTGCTCTGGCAGAACAGCAGAGCAGGACCAAAGCAGGTTAATGAGTGGGTAGTGTGATTCACAGCACTTGCTCAGCCTCTCTCATCTCTGCAAGCACAAACTACTGTTAGAAAATGGCAATGCAAACCACTTGCTTCTTGGTAACCTTCATGGGAAAACAAGCAAGAGTGCTCTCCTTCCCTTCTCCTTCCCCCACAAGACAAATCTTGTGGCTGTTTTCAGCTATCCACAGCACCTCTTCCGCCCACTTTGAGTTTAATGAGAATTTTGCACAAAGAATTGGGGGGCAAAGCACAGGAAGCAGTGGCTTGTGAGTGGGATTGTACGCTTGAGATTTGCCTACAGATGTATCGTCATGTACTGCTCCTGCTTTCACAGCCTGGTCTTTCTAACCTCCATTCCTCCGGTCAATGCAGGGCTCCTGTGATCGCGGGTGGGAATGCAGAAGGAAACTGTTAATAACTGTTGCTGGCAACTGACTTCCCTTTTTGCTTAGGAAAGCGTAGAGTCTGTAGTTCAGAATCCTACCCTGCGACATAGGTTATTCCTTTGTTGTGTGTCCACCTCTCTTGGCTCTTCAGGATCCGTTACCTTTCTGTGTATCAACCCTGAGTCTGCCATGAGTGACTCATCCCTGCTGTTTATTGCTGGAGCAAACACTGTGGAAGACCAGAGGGCTCGCTGGGAGAGAAAGCGCAGCCGGACAGCCAAGGAGCTGCTGGAAACTGAACACAAATACCTCGAGCAGCTGGATTTGGTGGTCACAGTGAGTATTTCTGCCCGTTCTGCTATGTGGGTATCTTCAGATAGCCCGTACTTATTTGTGTTGTCATGGGGAAGGGTCAAGAGCAAGACTTTGATATATCCCTAGTGCCTGGGACAGCTGCTAGGGCTGAAAGGTTTTTTTGTTGTTTTTCTTTTACCTCCTCTGTAATATTCAGTAGCTCGTGGGTTCAGGCCTTTGGCTTTGGTCTATACACAGGCATAAACCTTTGAATTTTGATTGTATAAGGACTTGCCTTAAGATGCCTGAGGTGTATGAAATGTAGGGGGCACAAACAAACAGAGATTATAGACAAGACGGTGAAAGACAAATGCATCTAAGGATACTGAAATACGCTCTATCAGTCTGTTTAGTAGTACTATAGTACTGTTCCATGTGTTTAGAGTTACGGTCAAAGTTACAAATCAGGCTTACGTCTGACAATGGATATCTTAGGCAGACATTCATAATATTTGATATCCTTACAAGCCAGCGTGTGCAGGGAGGAACTTCTGGCTTTTGCTGTATGCCACAAATGACCTTTGAGTAACCTTAAAGGTTAATAACCTTTGTGGCTTTCCATTACTTAAAGGGGGCTTATAAAAAAGAGAGAGAGAGAGTGACTTTTTATACAGGCATATATTGATAGGACAAGGGGGAATGGTTTTAAATTGAAAGAGAGTAGGTTTAGATTAGATGTTAGGAAGAAATTCTTTTACTGTGAGGGTGATGAGGTAATGGAACAGGTTGCCCACCCAAGTTTCAGATGCCCCACTCCTGGAGGTGATGGGCCAGGTTGGATGGGGCTTTGAGCAGCCTGGTCTAGTGGAAAGTGTCTAGTGGACATTGAAATGAGATGGTCTTTAACGTCCTTTCCAACCCAAACCGTTGTGTGATTCTATGATGATCTGTGAATTCTGCCTGTTTGAAATTCTCTCTTTTTTTCCTATTTAGTACTTTGTGACAATTTTAAAGGCCAAAGGGACACTGAAACCTGCTGTATTGGAAACTATATTTGGACCCCTGGAATCCATATATTCGGCCAGCCAGTAAGTGGACACACTGTTGCAATTCCTGTGATTGTACTGGGAGGACTCTATATTGATGAGAAAGCTTTATTTCCAAATATCTTACTAACACCTTGTAAAACAGGCATTCACTTCTAGCACTGCTAGCTTTGGTGACACTTGATGTGTACCCAGGAAACTGCTGATCTGTGTCACATACCCGGATACCCAGTTACTAGATAGTGGTTTAACCTCAGTAAATCTGCTCCACAGTGTATTCTGTGGCTTACTCTGTGACCTCCAAGCACATATTTGGCACAGAAACTGGATGTGAGGTGGAGAACGACAAAGGAAGGTCATCATAGGAACGAACCAGAGAGAGCTGTGAAAATGCCATCAGTAATGTAGCCCTCACAAGCTATCTTTGCTCCTTGTACACAGTGTTCTGTCATTTCACCTGGAAAGAGGGAATTTGGGACCAGGACTGGAAAGTTTTTGTCAGAATCTGGATCTTTATGGCCACTATGCTGAGAATTTGGAGCAGGCAAATAAAACCTTGAAGGTAAATAACTACTTTACTCTTCTTATTCTCTGTGTTTTTCTGTTCTGTGAAACAGCTACATCCTTCCCTTTTTCTTCTGCTTCTGGAGTAATCATTTTTCTGACTTCTCCTGGGCTGATGATATTCAGTCTTTCTTCCATAATAAAATGGTAAAAACTTCTATACGTCCTTAGAGCTTCAAATTTTTCATGCTTTTTTCAGGTGTTTGTGTATGTATATGCATATGCTGAGAACAGCTTTCTCAAACAGAGTTCTGTATTTACTCCCACTCCTTCTTGGCTGGCAAGGCCTAGAGAGCTTCCAGGCTTTCACTAGGGTACAGTGATCTCTTTCTGGGAATTGTCAGGTCTCCTAATCTTTCCCACTACCATTAACTGTATCCTTAGCAGTGGGATTTCCTTTTCCTTCACAATTTCTTTTCTCTGGTAGAATTTTATTTTTTTGAGGGGGACACTTATGTCTCCAAATACAACATGTTTTCAAGAAATTTCAGAAGGATATATTTTTATTCCAAAGTTCTGACAATGGTATCTGGAATTTAAACCCCTCCACCTCCGGTTTTTGTCCATGCATATTCCCAGATGCAGGATGTACTGGGATATTTCTCTTCTCTTGTATTTCCATGCACATATTCACACTTTTGATTGTCCAAGAGAAAAAGGCATTTTGGATACTTGCCTTGAGGTGATGGGAATGTGGAGCTGCATTGCTTTGTCTTGAAATGAGTGGCACAAAGCCACAGGTGCACTCCTTGTTTTCCTAACTGGGTTCAACCTTCCTTTCTTCTTTCTTTCCATTTGCTGCATGTACTAGCTTTGTACTGCTGTGCCTGTATGAAAGAATAATATTGCTTCCATTACCCACTGGAAATGATGGTTAGGAGAAAGGGAGTGGCTTGCCTATGACCACAAAAGAAGTTGATGCTTGTGTTTAGGACTGGAGTCTTAAACTCTAAGTTGAAGAGTTCTAAGCTCTGGTTCAGACTAGAGCACATAGTTCTTTTTGTAGTCTCAAAGCTATATCCCTTTTCTGCTGCACACAGGAGCGATTGAGGAAAAATAAGTCGTTCCGGCGGTTTAAGAAACTCCAGGAATCTCGACCTCAGTTTCAAGGGAGGGAGTTAGAGGATCTGCTTCCTTTGCCCCTGCAGAGGCTGCACCAGTAAGTAAACAATTGTGAGTCTTCAAGGGGTTAGCATGAGGAGGGAAAAAGGAACATAACAGTGTCTTGGTTGGTACAGGAGGTAAAGTTGCTTAATGTGTCTCAAAATCAAAAAAGCACATAGACAGCAGTGAAACAGATCTGAAGATGTCCCCGTAGAGTGGAATCACTGTACATGGATTGGAGATGATGCAGGGAAGTAGCTGTGTTTAGCCCTGGCTCCTATCCCTTCATGTAGCTCTTGGGTAGAATTGGAGGCTTCCTGCCACCTCAGTAAGCTACTGAATTTCAGCTCTGAACAAAAACAAGCTGTCTGAAATGATGCAGAAGTGATGCCCTCTGCCAGAGATGGCCTTGCTCTGCTTTTGTGCAGGTTGCTGCCCTGGGGCATTGTGATTCTTGTAGATCACTGCTTTTGGAAAGGATGAAATTAACGAACACAGAAGAGCTTTTCTTCCCTTTCTGGTTATCAGGGCCATACGCTTTCCTCAGATTCGATGCCTATTGCAGTTGTCTGAGCCTAGACAGATCCACTCTGGATTGCTGCATTCCCTTTTAAGGCACCAAACCTTCCAGATTTCAAGAAATATTCAGACAGCACTTGTGCATGTGGTGTGATTTTTAGGGTTATCCTGCGCAAAGCCAGGAGCTGGACTTGATGGTCCTTTTGGGTCCCTTCCAACTCAGGGTATTCTATGATAATCCCCCCTTTGAAGAGGCAAACTGACTGCATGGGGAGAGTGCTGCATGCACTCATGGGCAGCCCTTTCTTGGGGAGGGTGTCTGGGTAATGCAGGGCACAGGTAGTTTGCTGGGAACTCAGCTGCTGCTGCTGCTGCTGTAGACCAAGTAGCTGCTTTTCATAAACATTAAGCTGACTGGTGGTTTTTTTATTATAATGCTTTGGATACTTCCTTTAAATTTGCAAAACAGCAGTATATTTGTTGCTGTCCAGCAGTTGGGAGAAGTGTCAGCTTTTTAACAGAAGATCTAATTTTTTCATTAATCAGCTCCATCATGTTCAATTTTCTTCAAAACACTAATAACAAATACACTAGGTCACACGAGTTCTGCCAGTTTGTGAATCTGTTAAATTCCTTCTCTCATTTCAGATTGAAAACAGTTTGACTTTATTAAGAGAAAGAATTTGCAGAGATCTGATCCTTTCCAGTAAAGACTGGAGAGGAAAAAAAGAAAAAGGAAGATCCTAGTTCTTATAGAAACGCCTTTATTTTCTTGTATGGGCAGGAAACACGGTATGAATGCCACCATTCAGATACAAAAAAATAGATAGTTCAAAGGGAAATTTGTCTGGTATTGAAGGCATTTTTGTGTGAATGCTGAGAGTCTCGTGAACATAAGTAATTTGTGAGGTTGTTTTTATCAGATTCCCAGGAAAAGCCAAAGGCTTGCAGATGTATAAAATACTTGGTTTACTTTAGTGGATAAATTTGATGATAAAATGAATGTGATTGAAGTGTGCCCAAAACTGCTTGATTAGGCTTAGATGTGTGCACTCCATCTCCTGGTGGAGTGCTCTTCGTCATGCTGTCACTTACAGGAGGTGGTGACATTCCTGGCATCTTGTGGTGAATTAAACCTGCTCTCTCCAACTTAGGTACAAGCATTTCTTCAGAGACCTGCTGGAGAACACCAGCCCAGACAGTGCTGAGCACCTCAAACTTGCAAGTATGATTCCACCTGTAGATGCTGACACTTTGGTCAGAGATAGCCTCCTTGCTAATATTTGGATTCCCACTCCCTGCCTGCTTCCACAGAAGAAAAATCTTTCTCTCTGTGGGGTTCTTGTGGACTACTGTTTCTCTTCTCCATTTTGATCAAGATACCCCTGAGAACACATTGAGAATAAAAATGTAGAGTAACTGTCTGTAAAAGTGGCCTAAGGATTAAATTGGAGAAATGGCAGCTCTATTTTTTTTCATTTTTATTTTTAATTCTTTTTTATTCTGATGGTGGTGAGGCACTGGCACATGCTGCCCAGGGAATATGTTGATGCCCCATCCCACCAAGGGTTCAAGGCAAGGGGCCTGGATGGGGCCCTGAGCAACCTGGTCTGCTGGAAGGTGCCCCTGGCCATGGCAGATGGGTTGGAACGAGATGATCTTTAAGGTCACTTCCAACCCAAACCATTCTATGACTCTCTTGGTCACATGCCTCAATTTTCTAGGGTATTTCGTGTCCTTCATGCCATATCCAATCACTAGTGGTGTTCCCCAGGGCTCAGTACTGGGCCCAGTCCTCTTTAATATCTTATCTGTGATCTGGACGAGGGGATCAAGTGCACCCTCAATAAGTTCACAGATGACACCCAGTTGGGCAGGAGTGTTGTTCTGCTGGAAGGTAGGAACGTTCTGTACAGAGGGATCTGTACAGGCTGGATCAATGGACCGAGGTCAGTTGTGTGAGGTCCAACAAGGCCAAGTGCTGGGTCCTGCACTTGGGTCACAACAAACCCCTGCACCGCTCCAGGCTGGGGGCAGAGTGGCTGGAAAACAGCCCAGTGGAAAAGGACTTGGGAGTGCTGGTCAACAGTGGCTGAACATGAGCCAGAGTGTGGCCAGGTGGCCAAGAAGACCAGTGGCATCCTGGCTTATGTCAGCAGTAGTGTGGCCAGCAGGACCAGGGCAGTGACTGTCCTTCTGTACTCAGCACTGGTGAGGCTGCACCTTGATTCCTGTGCCCAGTTTTAAGCCCCCCACTGCAGGAGACACATTGAGGTGCTACAGTGTGCCCAGAAAAGGCCAACAATTTGGGGAAAGGTTGCCCACAAGTCCTATGAGGAGCAGCTGAGGGAGCTGGGGGTGTTTAACCTGGAGAAGAGGAGGCTCAGGGGGCACCTTATCACTCTCTTCAACCACCTGAAAGGGGATTGTAGCCAGGTGGGGGTCTGCCTCTTCTCCCAGAGAACAAGTGACTGGACAAGAGGAAATGGCCTCAAGCTGTGCCAGGGGAGGTTCAGGCTGGACATCAGGAGGAATTTCTTCATGGAAAAGGTTGTTAAACATCGGAATGGGCTGCCCAGGGAAGTGGTGGAGTCACCATCCCTGTAAGTGTTCAGGAAATGACTGGATGCGGCACTTGTGCCATGCTCTAGTTGGTAAGGTGGTGTTCAGTCAAAGGTGGGACTCAATAATCTGAGAGGTCTTTTCCAACCAAAATGATTCTGTGACATTTACAAGCAGTTAACTGAAGTAACACCACTTGTAGGGCTTTTTCCTTTTCTGCTTCCAAGTTATTCCTCTGTCTAATGTTTAATTGGAAAATGTTTTCTAGAGCTTCAGAATTGTTGATTGGAGAGAGGCCTCTGGAGGTAAACTACTCCAATCTCCTGCTGAAACTCCTGAATAAAACTGTTGTTGATATTTGGTTTAAAAGTTTGCTTCTTAATTTCATATTATCTTTTCTTAGCAAGATAGCTAAGGTGAAATATATACTCATTTGTGATAACCTCAGAATATGCTGCTGTAATTTCAGAGGCTGTGAAGTCTGTATCTGAGATATCTCAGCGGGTCCAAGGCATAACTGAAAAAAGAGAGAACTCATTGCAGCTGCTTCGAGTTCAGAAACTGCTCAAAGGACAGAAGACCCAGGTTTTGACTCCAGGTGGGTCCTACTGACAGTTCTGTTTTTCTTCTACCATGCTGAGATACATGAAGGTATGCTCTCCTTCACCTCTGACTCAACTCATATTAACCGGTTTTCCCCTTCTGCCCAAATTCCATAGAGAGGTGGTGAAGGAATATGACTACTAATTCAAACATTTTTTTTAAAGTTAAGCATTTTGGAGTAAGGATAAGCAGCATCTTAATTGCCTGACGTTCAGGTAGGAGGAGGTGATGACATGTAGTTAAAAATTATGAACCTAAGGAAGCCAGGATTTTAAGTCCTGGGTGGGAATGAAAGACAGACATTAAATAATTTTGAAAGAGTGTAAGTAGTGGCATTGTCTCTACTCCATTGCAGGAACCATAGATTTCTGAATGTCAAGGGCCCAAGGACTGTGTTGTTGTTTATCTTAAGCCATAAGATTAATGGAATTCTGCTCATACTCTTCATACGAAGAATTGTCTTTTATTTATTCTTTTTTCTGTGCCAGAAATCAGCGTATTTGTGTTGATAGCTGAGATATATAAAATCACAGTCACTGGCATGTAAGAACATCTAATGGGATAACAGATCTCTATGACCTCTTGTGTTACTGGGTGCTCTCCAAGCCCAGAACACGCTCCAAGCTGTGTGTGGAATGTTCTGATAAATGCGCCCCGTCTGGGAAATTATGAAATGGTCACCTGGGGTTTCACCTGTACCCTCACTAAACTCTGCTATTGCAGAGGTTATTCAGGCACAGTGCTGCAGCTGGAGAGGAGTATTAAAGTCTCTGTGTGTGAAGGCACAGCTCCAGGTACTAGTGAATGGGGTTGTAATTCATACCTGTGGATCTTTGGGTGAAAGAGACATTCCACAGTGGGATGGGCGAGAGATTCAGAAGGGTAAAACTGACAAAGCTCGTGGGCTGAGATGAAGACAGTTTAATAGGTAAAGCAAAAGCTGTTCATGCAAGCAAAACAAAGCAAGGAATTCACCACTTGCCATGGGCAGACAGGTGTTCAGCTATTCCCAGGAAAGCTGGGCTCCCAACACACACAGTGGTTACTTGGGAAGACAAATGCCATCACTCCAAACACCCCCCTTCCTCCTTCTTCCCCTAGCTTTATATGCTGACCATGGTGCCATATGGTATGGAATGTCCTTTGGGGAGTTGGGATCAGCTGTCCCAGCTGTGTCCCTTCCCAGCTTCGCATGCACCCCCAGCCTCCCTATTGGTGGGGTGAGGAGCAGGAAAGATCTTGATGCTGAGAAGTGCTTACACAGCAATAAAGAAAAGATCCCTGTGTTGTCAATGCTGTTTTCAGTGCAAATCAAAACCAGCCCCATAGCAGTTACTATGGAAAAAATTAACTCTATACCAGCCAAATCAGCAAGGCTGACAAAGGTTGTTTATCAGAGGTCACTCTCAAAAGTGCTTAATCAATGGGCAGATAAATTTAAAATTCTCTTCCCCGTTCTTACAATTCTTCTCATGATGCCAGCTGAAAGGGAACTTACACGGGTGTGCTGTATTTACAGGGAGCAGGAGCATGTGGTGGGGGGCCTGGGCACATTGGGGTAGTGCATAAGTAAAAAGGTAAATCAGTTATCCTGAATGTCAGAACTAATAAGATAACCCCTTGATAAAAAAAACCAAACAAAAATAAACCACCCAAAACATTACAGCTTGACCAGAGATGGCCATCATTTGAAAGCATTAGGTCCATGCGTTTTTTGGTCTTTGAATATTCTGAGACATGTAGCAAGGCGAGTGTTGAGGGTCTGTAGAGGCCTCTCCATTATCTAGGACAGAGAATTTTTATGGTCATGTTTTCCATTTCCTGGAGTTACACAGGTACTCTCGGATGTGTGAAGCAGAAAAGTAGAGGCAACTGGAGCCTTGCTAGTTTTGGGTCAGCTTTCCAGAAACAAGCTATTTTTTTCAGAACTGTTAAGATTGTGTCCTGCCACCAGGAGGGAAGAAAAAACCTAATGCTGTAAATTCACAGAAAGGGGGAGCTTTGGAGTTGGGTATCTCACATTTGGCAGTGTCTCTGAGATATACTGCTCCTAGTGAAGAGACCCTGCTTTTCTTGCTGCATTCCATATTTAGGGCAACTACCATATTAACCAGAATCACCTCCTTAACTTGGTACACTGTTCTGTCATCCTGAGCTTCCATAAGGATATTTTCTTGCCCTCCTTTCACAAGCATTTCCTAAATCTTGTGCCCCTGGTAATCCATGGATTTAATCCATAATCCAAGATTTCCAGTACAGTCCAGGACAGATTGTATACCTGAGAGTCTGATCACAGCTTAGCCTGAGAGGAACAGTTTCCCAGTCCAGTCCCATGCTGCTGACACCGTCCTTTCATTTATTTCTTAAACTTTGATTGATTCCTGCACTTGATTCCTTCTCTTTCTCACGTTCTAATTCAGACAAGAGGAGTGGTTCCTGTGGAATAAGCTAAACAGGAATTCACCTGCCTCTTCGTTTTGTGACTGTGGCATACTAAGTAAGACACAATCCATAATTAAAACAAAACTCTGCTTTTTTTCTAAAAGGTACTTAATAGCTCATGCAGAAGCTAAGGCATGAAAAACAGTGTCAGAAATGCCCTGGCAGGTGTTTCCTAGACAAGGCCAGGTGGCAATACCTAATTACAGCTTTATATTTTTACAAATAATCTCACTGGCAGGTGCCTTCATAATTTCCATGAGTTGATGGCTATCTTGCACAAGAATCCTACTTAGAGGTCCTGCTTTAATTATTCCATTTTGTGTAGATGCCATTTTTTAATTGCTGCTTACAGCTGGGTTTATCTAATTGTTTTAATTATTTTTCTGCTGCTTTCTCTTCCTTTACTTTTATTGCAATTCATTTCACGGGTGGATGACACTGGGCTCTGTTCTGTAAGAGAGGCTGATAAGGTTGCCTATTCAGACCTTTCTTATTTTTTATCCCCTTTGCTGTCTCCTCTTTAGAACAGTAGTCTGCATCATGCAATCTCTTAACTACTGGAGGTCTGTATATAATTAGGTGACCTGTGAAACATGGAGGATTTGGTTTTTCTGCTGTTTTTCTTTTTTTTTAAATTTATTTAATTTACGCACACAAGCAAGCAACAAAATACTACATTTTCAAAGCTTAGGCTATCTTCTGTTTCACCACTAAGGATAAACAAATGGGCAACACAAAGATTGTTCATGGTGTGTTTTCTGAAGGCTTATTTTAGTTTAAAGGTGTGCATACAATTTTAAAACCATGTTTTTGTTCTGATCTTTTTAAACAGGCTTGCATATCATAATATCCTCTTAATTAACATAGTAGATTTATAACAACTTCAGCCTGCTCCTAAACGTTTTGGGCTGGTTACTGCTTTTGTATGGGTGTTTTCCATGTTGGTGGGCTGGACCCAGTTGATACTTCAGTGCCTTCTAGTGGCTGGAATTGATGTAGAACCCGGTAACCTACAAGGGTGGCTCAGGCTGTATTCCTGTTTGTCTCGTTACATCTTTCCCCCCTCCTCAAGTGATCTGACAACTGTCTCTGTTTCCTTTGCATGCCCAGGGCGCTGGTACATCCGGGAAGGTTGGCTTTTGGTGGTGCCTTCAAAGGGAGAAGAACTGAAGCGCAGGATGTTCTTCCTGTTTTCTGATATCCTCATTGCAGCAAAGCCCTGCCACCCCCTGCACCCGCTGAACTCGCACAAGCTGGCGTGCCAGGCTGTTTACCCTCTCCACCAGTGCACCGTGGATAAAGTGTTCGGCCACACGCAGAGCCAGGGAGGGCTCCTCAGTGTAAGTCTCCCCACTTCTGCCTGGCAGGAGCACCACTGGAGTCAGACTTGGAAGCAGGTTTCCAGCTGTCTCAGCAGCAGCAGGACTGAGACGACGAGACTAGTGACAAAATGCAATGAGCTAGTCTGACTCAAGGCAACCCTTTTTGAGTGCTGTAGGCCCTCCTGCACACTCTGGGGTACAGGTTGCTGCTGGTTGCTTCACTTAGCTCAGGTGAGGAGGATCCAATAAAACTTTGACATGCCCTCATCAGAGCTACAGGTTTGAGGGGACAGCCCCCCAGGCATGTGACAATTACATTGACTGTGGGCTCAACTTTCAGAAAAACAGAGAATGAAGGAGTTATTATCACAAGAGATATTGCTTGTACATCAAACTCCCTGAGGGCTGCAGGGTCCTTGGCAGGGACCAGTGTCCTCAGTAGAGGTTTCAAAGTCAGTTCTTCCAAGGTTGCAGGACCTGGGGCTGTGTTATCTCATTCCTTGCGACAAAGAACACTACAAGCAATCTGTGACCTGTAGATGGTGGTAGTGGAAGGACCCTGAGGGACAGCTTGGAATAAGGGAGAAAACTGGATGAAGAGCTGCTAAGAACTGCATTGCTCATCTCCAAACAGCTTATAAAGTCAGAGAGAGCTGTCAACTGTGGCTGGAAAGAACGGTCAAGTCTGGCACTTGCTCTGTACTGTCCAGCCTCTGGCTTTTCCCAGTACTAAAGCTAAATTTTTCAGTCTGGGAAGGAAAATGGTGAAAATCAACATGCAGAGATGAGTTGAATCCAGTAGTGATGACTCTCCTTTAACCAGAATTGCTGCCTAGGCAAGGAATGCCACAGATTCTGTTTGCCTTTCAGCTTTCCTTTCCACACAAGGCACTGCTGTTGATGTCCAGCGACCAACAAGATATCAATGACTGGTATCGGAGTCTCACAGCTGCAGTCAGGTAGGCACCTCTTTTCCAGAGGTGGAAGGGGCTGAGAGTAAGGGGACAGGACATAAAAATGATCATATAGGCCTGTGTATGGTTATAAGGGTGATAGAGAAGGCCTGACTCTGGCAGCCAGGAACACAAGGGAATTGTATGAACAGATTTCACCTATGAAGTGGCCTTGCCCTTTGTTTTTCTCTACAGACAGCTGAAAGCCTGACGCACCCGAGTGCAAGACAGACTGGCAAGACAACCACTGTCATGACAGAAGCCTACACAACCTTAGAAAATGCTCAGGGGCATATAGTAGAACTGCAGTTAGAGGGACTACACACTGTGCTTGTGAGATGACAAATGCTTTGTCAGCTGTCCTAATGTTCATACAGACACTGCAAAAAACAAGTATGCACACTAAGCATTTGTGTATAAAAAATAAGTATCAAGAATTTTCCCCAATTTAGCTTAAAAGCTTCTAGCTTTTCTGCACTTTTGTAAACTCAGATTATTAAAGACAAGCAGACGAGAGCCTGATTTGCTTTCCCTCATTAAATGTTTTTACTCAACCGTCTTTCTAAACCAGTGTTTTCACGCTCATTTGTCTATGTATGTGTCCACCTGCTCATGCTTCTGGGTCCTGTGACCAAAATGTGTGTTTTGGGTAGTGGTAATATGGACATTACACTATATTTTCTGCCAGTGGTACAGGCCACAGTCATCTTATCAAGCAGCATTCACATTTATAATCTGAATACTAAGAGATTATGCAGCTGAAACAGCTCTTGCCTTTGCCTGCATGGTGTGCAGTGTTTTATTGCTTTGAAATCCTGCAGAGAAAACCTTTGGCAGCACCTCTGCTCCTGATCTCCAGGGAAAATCTCCAGGGGGTACAGTCATTCTCCTGGGTCATCAATCCCTGGAAATGTGCTAGGGTTCAGTTTACTAGGATGACAGACCAACTTAAGGAATAAATACAGAAAACATATTATTCATTAGTATTTTGTTAAAGCCTCAGCGTGGACTTTTAACAATGTGGAAGCTCTGAAGCAACAGCAGTTTGGTTCATCTCCCTACAAAGAGGGCAAATTCAAGGCTACTAGAGACAAAGATTAAGGTCTGTCTGAACACTGACCTTTCAGCATTTTGACTGTTTTTTTCTCCTTCCTTTAGCAGTACACGTCTTTAATTTCACACTGGGTTCACTAAAACAGAGAATATGTAACTTTAACTTTTTGTCTTTCCATACAATTAACTTGCTCCACGGGATCACTCATTTAAATGTCTTAAGTCTGTAAAACCTGGGAGGGAGGAAGGAATGCAATAGGGTTTTGGAAGCCACACCAGTTCCACTGTGTTTTACCAAGAAAGGTTGGAGCAGGTATCCCTGAGGTCCCTTCCAACCTGGTGTTCTATTCTGTGATACCATGTTTGGGTTGGTTTTGGTGGTTTTTTTTTTCACTGCAAAGGTACAGCTAGGACTTTCAAGTACTAGCTGTGCTTGAAATCAAAGACAAAGCTAACAACTAAAGATTCTTAAAAGTTAAATCATTCTGAAAAAATTCTGCCATTCTCCCTTTTTGTTCTAATTAGGTAAAATAGAGACTTCCTGTAATCCTGCACCTGAAGCTGGGATGTCTACCAAGCTCTTGCTAGAGATGGCAACAACTCTTACCTGGGCTGCCACCTTACTATAAGACAAGTTCCTTTGATACTGTCTCTTCATAGGACTTATCTCAGTGTTACCACCCTATTTGCATTCAGCACTTTTTGAAACAGCAAAAGTATCTCATTTTTCACTGAACTTCCTGCCCTGAAATGCTGCGCGCTGGCTTCTAGGAAACAATGTAGCTCTGTCACAGTGGAGATGCTGCCCCAGAGCAGGGCTGTTGGACCAGAACCTGTAATAAAGCCAGGTTTTGCTGGAGTAAGCTACTAACGCTCATGCAAAAGAATTAAGCTGTGCCAGGTGAGGTTTAGGTCAGACATTAGGAAGAATTTCTTCAGAGAAAGGGTGATTAGATACTGGAATGGGCTGCCCAGGGAGGTGGTGGGGTCGCTGTCCCTGGAGGTGTTTAAGGAAAGACTGTACGTGGCACTCAGTGCCATAGTCTAGGTGGCATGGTGGTATTCAGTCACAGGTTGGACTCAGCGATCTCAGAGGTCTTTTCCAACCTAACTGTTTCTGTAAACATAATTCAAACAGAAGCAAACTGAACTTTCTGAACAAAGTTTATTTACACAGAGAACATCAACCACCAGGGCTCCTAGCTTGATTTCCTCCTCTTGCCGAGTCTCTATCCAAACCACGGGAAGAAGCAAGTAAACTGTGCGCGCTTCCCGTGGCAACCTCAGGTTAGCGACCGACCTCCAGCCCTCCCGACACACACCTTCCATTCCCGTGCTCCAGGACAGCCCCTCGGGGCACGGGGGGGACCCCTAGACAGGGGTGCCCGGCGGGGCCGCCGCCCTGTGCAGGTCCTCCCGGTAGCCCTTGAGCAGCTGGTTGAGCAGCGTCTTCTCGGAGTCGCGGCGCGGGCGGACGAGCGGCGGCAGCGGGTTCCCCTTCAGCTCGATCACCGCCATCTTCGCGCGGTCCAGCGCGTCCCGGTTGGGGATCTGCAGCATGCGCGTGTAGCTCCCGGGGTGCGGCTGGAACCGCGGCGCCAGCACCTTGAACAGCTTGTGGATGAGGTCCTTCTCCTGCGGGGCGGCACGCTCAGCTCCGGCACCGCGGCGGGATGGACAGGAGGGATCTGGGGCTGGGAATGGCGGGGGGGAGGGGGGGTTACTCACCGTCAGCCAGAAATTCGCCATGCGCATGGCGCGCTCGTCCGTGTCCCCCCGCTTGGCGTAGTCGATGAGCTGCGGGGAGGAAGGAGGCGGCGGGTCAGGGCCCTTCGGCCGCCCGCCCCCCCGGCGCTAAACCCCGGCCCGGCCCGGGCCCGCCGCTCACCCGCTCGGCGTAGCCGCGCATCTCGTCGGCCCGCGCCCAAAACGTCTCGATGCGCTCATGGCGCACCAGCGCCGTCACCAGGTTCCGCAGCAGGTCCAGGCGCCCCTTCGGGCCGGACCCGAGCCGCCGATAGACGCGGCCATGCGAGATGGCGGCCGCCACCGACAGCCGCATCCCGCTGCCCTTGCCCGCCGCCCGCCCTTCCCGGCCACCGCCGCCTCCCGGCCTCCCGCGCGCCGCCCGGGCGCTGCCGGGAGATGTAGTCACAGATGTAGCCACAGGATCCCGGAGTGGATCAGGTTGGGAGGAACAGCATTGGGGTCATCTGGTCCAGGCTCCCTGCTCAAACACAGCACGGGGTTGCGTCCAGACGGTTCCTGAATATCTCCAGTAAGGGAAACTCCACGACCTCTTTGGGAAGTCTGTTCCAGTGCTCGGTCACCCACACAGTAGAGAAGTTCTCCCTCATTTTCAGGTGGAACTTCCTGTGCATCAGTTTCTGCCCGTTGCCTCTTGCCCCGTTGCTCCCCGTTGCTCGGTACTACCTGACTCTGTCCTCTTGACACCGTCCCTTTAGAGACACATTGATAAGGTCCCCTCTCAATCGTCCCTTCCTCTGGCTGAAGACGCCCCATTGCCTCAGCCTTTCATTGTAAAGAGGCAATGACTCTAGTCCCTTAGTCATCTTTGTACCCCTCAACTGGACCCGCTCTAAGACCTCCACATCTCTCTTGTCCTGAGGCGCCCAGAACACAGCGCTCCAGATGTGTCCTCGGCAGTGCTGAGTAGAGGGGCAGGATCAGCTCCCGCTACCGCTGGCAATGCCGTTCCAAACGTAGCCCGGCCCGCAGCCGCGTACCGGGAGGTCTGACCGGGACAGGGAAGCCGGGACAGACCCGGCGGGGAGAGCCGGAGGTACTGCTGGCGCTAAAGGGCTGCACCGCCCCCGGGTCCCGCTGCCGGTCCCGGCGGTCTTTTGCTAGTTTTAAAACTATCGGATGCAAGTTAATTAGCCACTCAGATCTTAAAATGTCTAGCTTGATTAAACTGCTGTGTAAGTGGTTAAAATCAAAATTAAACCTCATCATCCTGTCATATGACTATACCATCTGGCTTTCCCCAGATGTAGACACTAAATGACTCTGCTTTTCATGAGTTCTTGTCAGTTCTGTTCTGTTGTCATCATCCAGTCATGGAAAAATAAAATTCCCAGTACAATTGGGAACTTCTTTGTCTACCTTTTCATTGTCAGATCTGCTAACCACAGATTTTTGTCTTTAACATTTTGCTCCCACTATCTACTTTATAAAATCCAAGACAGTTATTACTACGACTGTTCCAGCCTTTTTTTTTGTTTCCTTTCTTCTTATATATGTTTCAGTATGATTTATAGATACTTTTCGTTTTACTTTGCATTACCCGAGTCCTGACAGTCCTGGGTCCCAGCAGTGGAGCCGGATCCCACCAGGAATGACAACCAGCCCTGGGTACCAGCCGTGCTGCTGTCCCTGTGGCATCGGCGAGCAGGGTGGGCTCTGCGGGGAGGGAAGAATGCAGCCGGGCTCCCCGCTGCCGCTCACTACAGCTATGATGGGGCACAGCCCGCAGGATGCTCCTGAGGCTGCAGGGAGCGGCTGGGCCACCTGCGAGAGGCAAGCGAGGCCTGTCAGAGCCTGTGTCTTATTCCCCTCTTTTCCACAGTGCTGGTGGCAGGATGCCAGAGGGCTTCAGACCCCCATAGCACACACCCAGGCTGTGCAGAAACTGTGCACACTGACAGAGCGGGGTAAGGCTGCTGGATCCAGCCTCACACAGCGCAGGAGCCACCATCCATATAGTGAAGCTGGCATTGTGCTTTATTCCCACAAAGACTGAAACCCACCCTAGTCTGCAAGAGCTCATCCCTCATAGTCAGAGGACTACAGCAGTATGTGTAGTTCAGTTCCAAGAAAAATGCCAGAAGGCAGCACAAGGAGGTTTCCTGCCATTTGTTTCTTCCAGCCAACACTGCTGTATTTCAGAGAAAGTCATGTGTAACAAAAGCAGCTACCAACAGTGTAAGAAAAAATATCTTTGTTATTATGAATACATCATAAAATCACAGTCATCTTATACACATTTTAGTATTTCATATATAAATAAAGTGAACAGTATAAGTATTGGAATGTGTAATAGGAACAAACATACGGATTTTAATGTGAAATTAAGAGACTTGGACTCCACCCCCATCTTTTGTTGCTGCTCTGGGACTTGGCATATTAACTCTGAAACACTTCTAGGAAGAAGGCTAGGTAAGCTGTGATGCCAATAATAACTCCAGGCATTACCCTAATTCCATTTACAATCAATTTTCCTCTTCTTTTCCTGATTTAGCGTGACGATATAAAAATTCTTCCATGCCAGAATTACAGCTTTGCAAAAAAGACTAAACCTGTATGTACTTGGCACAGTGTTGAAAGAAAACATTTTTCAAGATTCATGATTTTGTTAATCCCATTAACAATCAGCATTTTCCCACCACTACACACTCTTGCAAATGTTTCCATTAAATATATTTCTAATATTAATAAAATAACAAATTCTTTATTATCCTTCTGCTTATAACTTGATGTCTTAACATCAAAATAATATTTCTTTCTAATAAAATTATACATAATATTTATATGAAACAAAGTTGTCATGTGCATGAGCCTAGTAATGAGACTAGACATGAGTGTAGAAGTTTCTACTTTCTTGTTTTGGATTCTTGGGAAAGTTTGTTATTTTTGGAGCCACAGAGTAATAAATAATTTGAAAGGTAATGACTTCTCTGGCTACCCTGTAATGAAACTTAAACTGGAAATGATTCCTCTGTGCTGGTGTTATAAAACGTTGGGTAAGCTGAAGAAAATGACACTTTTCTGAGTGTCTTTATGTGTTTATCCAGAAATCTTAATGAAATGTTGCTGATACAATGTGTTATGAAAGTTATCATACCGTTAATCAGAAATGAGAAAGGTCATAGCTGGACGCAGAGCGGAAGCTGACCCTTCCCTGCCATCTGTGCTCAGAGGGGCTCTCTCTGCCCTAGGAATTCCTGTGCCATGTTGGCTGAACTTCTCTTTGCCATAGTGTCCCCCTTGTTGCTGGGACTAGAACAGCTTTGGGGAAGAAAGTCTGGACTGAGAAGGGTGAAAGACAAGGACAAGCCCAAGGAGCACTTTCTGTCACCTTTTTTTAATGGAGTAAACTCATCTGTTGGAAATCCAGCTCTAGGCTGTGAAAACCGATGATGCTAACTCCAGAAAGGGAAGACACTGAAATTTCTATTCAGAAAGTCACGTAAACATATGCTATATTTTTAGTCATGAACCTGTAGAACAACTCTCTGTACTTACAGCAAAGCATGTGTTTTATCTACTTTTCTGGTCCAGTCTCAGAATTTTCCTTCCCTGGATACTTATGCACAGCAGGGCAATTGTCGCCTCTCCCTGAATTTGACAGTCAAATTGTGGGAACTTCTCATTTGGTATGTTTCTATATTTGAAAAAGCAGAGCTTAGAACTAAAATAAGTGCCTTTTTTAGAATACAACATCTTGTGGGCAGGGGGCAATAGAATCTAGTTGATATGTAGGAAGTGGCACATCTAACATAAGTTATGTCATTTTGTAAGTGATGGTCAAAAATCTTCAGCTACTAATTCTCTAGTGGGAACCAACTTGGCCCAGCAGGTGATGAGGTGTACTGGTAAACATATGCAAGAGTTACACAATTTGCAAGATTTTAAAATACAACATTTGACACCGAACAAATTTAACTAAAATTGCATATTCATAAATGATGCAATTTATACTTAGTTGCCTGCTTGAAATCAAGAAAATACGACATAAAAGCCTCAGTTTATGCTGTCTTTGAGGTTTCTTTCAGCCTGCTGCATATAAGACCATCCCTCTTTTGGCAACAAGTTCCTTCCTCAAGTCTCCCTTATGATGTGGTTCACAAGTCTACTTGGGTCTGCAGCTGCTGGCAGATGTCCTCCCAGACTGAGGAGAAACCCAAGGACACAGGGTAAGACCACAATCTTTTTTTTCAGCTATGCCTGTGACTTAGACATTGCTTTGTAAATACTGATAAAGACATAACGTGAAGAGGAATACAGAATACTCATGTTCTTAAAGGTTAATGCCCTTGCTTATGGCTTAGTGATAGTGAGAAGCTGGGAAACAGCTACAGGAATTAATACATTCTCTTAAGACACCACACAACAGACATGAAAGGTCTAGAGAGCCAACTGTTTACACCACATGACCTGTACTGGTGGTGTCAGGATTACACCAACTATCTTTTGGCCTAGAAAATATGGAAGGGAATCCAAACCTTTATGTGTTATCTGAAAAGGCTTTGCTTATATTTTTATCTGTATTTATTCTATTAGAACATCCAAGCCCTGAAAAACACAGCAAAATAACAAGATTTTCTTTGCATTTGTAACATGGACACCACTGAGCACTAGACATACTGTAGAAGTAGCAGCCACACAGATACAACATTGAAATTTTGTGCTTAATATACTCCTTTATATTCCAATCATGGCAAAGTCCTCAGGAGCTGTGGAAATCCAAAAGAAATGGTAACATACATCATCCATGAGGTATGGTCTAACTTGTGCATCCAATCTTCCAGTGTAAATAAAGGGCACTCCCTTTTATCCCCATTCACAAATACAGGATCCCATGTGCAGTACCTCACTTAGCCATCCTCGTACCTGTTGAAATGTTTTGTCATGTGCACTCCTGCACCTACTCATACTCTTCCATATACCCAGCCAAGTACGCTGCCACTCTGTGTTCCAGTTCGGTGAAAGCCATTTAGGTTGATCTCATGCAGCAGTGGAACAAAACAGATGGAAGCTCTTTGCAAACATGAGGCCTCTCTCTGGTGTCGATTTCACTCAGGCTTCAATTTCACCAAGGAAGACATGAACCTGCAGGAGGTCAGACTCTGACTCTTTCTGCAAGGCTGGGATTGATTTTGTGCTTGCCAATAAGCCTGCCTGATTCACTTATGATTGGTTTTCCTGTTTAAAACATCCCCTTTTATCTTGCTCATTTTTGTGCAGTGTATTCAACATGAATCTGTTGAGAAAGGAAACTGGCCTTCACACTGAGCAGTGGGACAATGGTAAGGAAAAAGTAGTGTTAGTTTAGGATGAACATCTTTTGACTGTCTTTGAATGATACTCTAGCAACACAAAGCCTAATAATTTCCAGATCAAGCAGTAGCACCCTTGTATCACTGCTTCACCATTTTTTTTCCTTTTTCTGCCACAATGGGACATAATAGAAGACAATATCTCACTTACAACTGGCCTCTGCTGTGAAACAGGGATCCACTTCTCACACTGTCCTAAGCCTGGGGACAGTAGCTGGAAACTTGACTTCAGTGGTATAATATATTTGCATTTATAAAATAACTGTGGATCAGGGTTTTCATTATTGGCATCATTCAGGGATGATGTTCAGCTACCCCTCTGTCCCTAGCAAGATTTGGGTCATTTGGAAATAGAATGCAAGGTAGGCAGATGGAATGCTGTGGTCTGGATTATTAGCTAGAGCATGCCTTAGTCATATTATATACTAAGAAGGTTTTCTTGATAGTATAGGTACAATGCACAGTGCAGGCTTGATGGTATGAAATTACTGCAAGGAGGCTACCATGAACCAGGAAAGCTACAGTACAGGCAGCATGGTCCAGAAAAAGCAGAAAGAAAACTGAGAAATAATATATATATATATTTTACATTGTCAGTGCATCTTTTATATTGAAGAATTCTAAAGGGGCTTTATTTTTCAGTAGGCATAGCTAAGGATGGTCTGCCTTCTGTATCCTGGAGTTTCTGGGTGCTGCCCGTGGTTTGTAGTCTTCTCCAGATCCAAAATCTACTGTATCATGATAGTTTGTAAATTCCTGAGGTAATGGAAATTCCTCTGTTGATGAATGAGTCCTGTGTCCAAACACTCTCTCTTGCAGCTCAGCGATGTCATTTCTGATGTCTGCCATCATCAGCAATAGGAAATCAAACGAACCTGGTGGGCCCTGCAGTCACAACGCACGGTCATTAATAACAAACCACCTTGCTCTTACAGTTTTCACACTGCTTGATAGAATTACTCTTGCAGGGGTAGTTCAGTAAAATACTGCTTTGTATCAATTGCCAAAAGTTAGTGGTCTGGTTTTTAACCAACTTGCTCAGGAAACAGTTTTCAAAAGAATCAAATGTTTTTTCAGACAGAGCCTACATTTACAAGATGTTTAGCCCTTTTGTCACTTAACAATTCCTTTGCTGTATCTGTTTCCTAAGAGTAGCCTGACACCTCACAGGAATAGAGGACATAAATCTTGCTTCCCCGCCTTGTTTCCTATTAAACTGACAGAAATTATATTCTTAGAATGACTAAACAACTCATTTTTTTAAAGACTTCTGTTCTTTGGAAACTATCTTTTCAATATGGTAATCTCGCTGCTGTCCATCACTTGCTAAATATATTGATAATTACAATGCAGAGAGTATCTAATTTTAGCTGATTTCACATATTAAACTAAACTGTTTAATACTGAGGATACATTGATGGGCACACTCTTAAAAATCCACTCCACCTATGAGAAAATAGCATAAGAAGTTAATTCATAGAACTGTAGAACAACCATCTAGTTCCAACCTCCCTGCCATGGGCAGGGACCAGGTTGTTCAAAGGCCCATCCAACCTGGCTTTGAACACTTCCAGGGATGAGGCACTCACAGATTCTCTGGGCAACCTGTGCCAGTGCTTCACCACCTCACAGTAAAGAATTCCTTCCCAATTTCCAATCTAAACCTACTCTCTTTCACTTTGAAGCCGTTCCCCTTGTCCTGTCACTACAGGCTCTTGTAAGAAGTCCCTCTCCATTTTTCTTGTAGGCCCCTTCAGGTACTGGAAGGCTGCAATTAGGTCAGCCCGAAGCCTTATCTTTTCCAGGCTGAACAATCCCAATTCTCTCAGCCTTTTCTCATAGGAGAGGTGCTCCATCCCTCTAATCAACTGGGTGGCCTCCTCTGGACTCACTCCAACAGGTCAATGTCCTTCCTGTGTGGGGACCCCAGAGGTTATTAAACAATTCCACCTGAAAACAGATTGTAAATACTCATCCTTCTTGTGATGACTGACTCAAAGCCCATAGCTTCCCAAATCCCAGAGAGATGAGGGGCAGGATTTTAAAAGGTTCCAGGGATCAAACTCCAAATAGGAGCTGAGGTTGAATTTGTGCTAACTAGCACTCTTCATGGGATCTCATGCCTTCTGAGGGTGTTCCAGCACTGTTGTGGAGCAGAGGGGTACCTACTGCCTCCAGCTCATACCCAGAGAGGAAAGAGGTGTGCAGGCAAAAAAGACTTGGATGAAAACAGGTAATTACTTTGTTTCCAATAAAATTTTCTGTGTATGTAAAGTATCTTTGCTCTTGACACAGCAGTTTTTTTTTTTTAAACTTTTGGCTGACCTGTTGTTAATAGTCAGCATCACTCTGTTGTGTAAATTCCTCCTGTGAGAAATACTTACAGGTATCCCCTTTGGTCCTGGTGCACCTCGCTCCCCCTGTAATCAATACCACCATGGTTAGTTTGCTGTGACTAAAGAAAACAAAAAAAACCCGCACTGTTTGCCTCTGCAGTCTCTCTTATTTACTGTCCCCAGATCAGAAACCATCAGCTGATGCTTGTTTGGAAAAAGAAAAGAAAGTGAAGGAGGAAAGAAAGGAAATTGCCACTGATTTTAGATGGAGCAGAGTGAGGCACTTCTGATGTTTGCCCTGCACAGTAACAAGCAAAGCAGTGAACAGGAGAAATTCACAAAAGAATCATCTAATGAAAAGGGCTAAATCATCGACATTTCTTCAGGGGAAAACCTAAAGATCTACAGGGAAAGGAAAGAAGGCCGCTTGACAGCCTGGAGGGACTATTTGCAAGATTTTAGCAAAGCCAAACACAAAATAGCAGAAGGGTGACATGAAGGGGTGGGACAACAGGACATTTTCATCTTAGCAAAGGAAATGAGATGGTGAAAGGGTTGGTCTACAGGTGTGCAGAGAGACAAGCCTTCACTCTAGCAAGCCTTCACTTCACACGTGCATATGTCCATCTTACAGAAACTAGTACTGTTCCTCACCTTGCTACCATCTCTCCCTGGGGCTCCAGGTGGGCCCTGCAAGGGAAAAGAAAGTGTTCACAAGGACATGAGAAGTTGTGGAGCTAAGGCCAATTGTGCAGGGCATGACAGGAGATGAGAATACTGACCACGGGGCCCCGTCTGCCCTGCTTAATATGTGATATGTCTGGAGATGGGCCCATAGGTCCCATGGATCCACGAGGGCCTGGCTGTCCAGGAGGTCCAGGTAACCCAGGAACTCCTTGGCTCCCTTTCGGTCCTGGAGCCCCTGCAATCAACAGAAAAGGTTATCTGTCAGGGGAAGCCTTCAGGACACCTCATCAGTGCAAACAGTGAGGAATGACCATTTTCTGAATGACCCAATTGATTGGTTACCTTAACACATCCAAATCCATAACAATACAACAAACACATCTGCATATGCACATCAGCAGCCCTCTGAGACAATACTCTTTGTCACAGTAGCTACAAGAGATGATCAATTTAACAGTTTAATATTGCGCATACAAAGAATCCAAGTCTGCCACTGCCAGATGGTTAGGGACACAGACTGAGAGGGAACTAAAAGAAAAGCAAAAATGCCTCATTTTGACACAAAGAAGAACAAGTCACATTTGAGGAATATCTGATAAAAAGAAAGCCTCAGAAAACTCATGGGAATTCTGTGTTGATGGTATCTACATGACTGGCACAAGCAAGCCCTTTCCAGTGGTGGGCTGCACCTCTCTTTTGCTCAGTACAGTAGCCAAAGTGTTAGGGGCAAAAAGGGCTCTGTTCTTCCATTTTGCTTTATATCCTTTTCAGTTTCTGCTGGTTCAGCAGAGTATGTTAGTTTTTAGGAAGCACACAGGCAACAAATGTATGTTTAGCTCAAGAGAAATTCTATGAAATGAAAACCAGAAAATCAGACACCTGAAACAACCTTTGCACAAAATAAAGACCATTGAAGTGTCACTAGCTGAAACGCTTTATGATTAGAGGGAAAAGCACTTTTCTTCATACTGAGGGCACATGAAAGACATAGAGAGTGAAAGGCAGAGACTAAAGAGGGTTCAGCAGGACAGAATATGTACAGTTAGGATTTTCAAAAGGAGGCAACTCAAGTTCAGTGATGACTCTCTGGGATTCCTCCTGTCTGGGCAGCAGAGGAGGTGATTTTAGGAGGAGCCGAGTTCTACAGTACCTCGGACAGCTCATTCATGGGAAAAACCGGTGGGTGGAAAACCTTGGAGGGTCAGGCCTACCTTGGAGGGATTGCAAGGCGATGCATTGTACCCCTCAGAGTCTGATGCAAAACCTCTAAAACCACACTGTCCTTGCACTTACGATATATTGAAGACTGAAGGTACTCGTTCTCCAAGGAAATGAGATAAAGACTCAAAAAACAAAACAAGACCCCGAAAGGGGGTATAAATGCAGGGAGGAAAGGAATGAAGGGAGGGGGCAGCTTAATAGGAAGTAAAATCCTTGTAAGGAATATTTGCTAGTTCTCTGTAAGAATCTTTCTGAAATCCAGCGCAATGCTAAAATTCCTTGGATTTATTGCTAACCCAAAATTAGATTTCCAAAATTTTTAGTACTGTTGGCTGTCAGTTGCAAGGTGTCTGGCTTAAGTTAGAGCTTTAGGATCCCTCTATTTTTTGCATTGTTTCAATCTATACCTTAGCAAAGAAGGTGTGAGTAGAGTTATACTTTTCTTTTCAGATTCCTTTGAGTCTGAACACAACATAAAACCAACAGATGAATCCTTGCAAAACCAGATGAGGAAAATTAAAACAGTTGGCACAAACCCCCACAAACTGAAAGCATATTTTCTGCTCTACTATTGACAGTGAGCTAAAGCAATTGATATTCCTGAAATAATAGACAATGTTTTAAGACAGGGTTAAAATACAGGAAATGACAACTGAAGCTGGTGAGATATCCCAGTGAGAGGGAGAAATTTAACACATATGGGACAAACACAGCTTGCACGCCAAGAAACACATGGAGACACACTGGATGATGTTAGGTGGTTGGTAGAGGCTGACTGTAACAACCAGAAAGTTTTTCTTTTCAAATTTAGCACAAATGCAAATATAATAGTATCAATCAAAATGTGAAACACATAAAATCCTATCACACTGAAAGACTGAAGCTTATTATTTTTATTCTTAGCAGTATTGAACACTTCTACCCCTCTGTTCTATATCTTACCTGGAGGGCCTTGTTGGCCAGGCTGGCCTGGGGGACCAGGAATATATGCATTAGATGCAAGCACTTTTTCACCAGTGATTTGCTTGCTAAGATCAGCAGCATTGTTTGGTAGCAAAGCAACCTGCCAAAACCAAAAATCACTGTAAGACCTTCATTGTTCAGCTGAATAAATTCCATTTTTAGTTAAGCTTTCACAAGAAAAAACAGTCTATTTAAATATTTCGGGAAAATATAAAGTGTTTAATCATATCTTTCATTGAAATCATTAGGAAAAAAAAGTTACTTTGTGAGTCTGTTCACTTTTTAAGTCACTGTGGAAACTCTGAAAGCCAATCCAATGGAGAAGAGGAGAAATTCAGGAGACATACAGCAACAAATTCTGAAAAACCTAATTCTCAAAACTACTTGGATCTTCTCAGGAAGCCTGCTTTTCCTTATTTGAAGTTTTCTCTGTTCATTTACTCTTCCTTTCTCAGGGCAACATTTGCTTGGATATTTAAGTTCTCAATTGCAGCACAAGCCACTGACTTTCCATTGGTTTCAATGAGAACCCCAAATCTTTAGTGGATCTGGCCCTGTAACCATACTAGTTAATCCAACAGATGTCTGGATCTTCTGTGGATAGAGACGCAAGATAAAGTAAGTGAGAATGTAAGAAGAATTGCACATTATAGTTTAAAGTGTCATTATTAATGACATGTTTAATTATCTGTGAAACATTAATCTGTCCAGATTGAACATATTTAATAATTAAACATATTTAGAAAAATACACAAATGTTTGTCTCTAGAGGCAGCTGAAGGGAAATGACAAGCCAGAAGGCTGGTCTGCAAAGAGGAAAAAAGTTTATTAGTGGTGAACAGCTGCATGTAGAGTTGAGGATTGTGCTCTGCCAAATGGAACTGAAGAGCTATTTCAGCAACACCAGAACAGACCTATCTCTGGGTGAGCTTTGTTCCTTGAAGGAATTTGGCTCACTCAATAATTTGATGCTGAATTCTGCAATATTTGCCTGGGAGAACTGCATTAAATAAAATACATGATGACTCCTGCTATCTGACAATGCTTTTCATCAGCTATTTGGAATTCCCTGAACTGGGCTGTTCTCAAGACTCCTACTTGTTTCTGTAATTATCTGATATATATTCTCCTGTCATTACTGCAAACCTAATGTTTGTAATGCACAAGAAAAAACCCCAGTGCTATGCACTTTCAGTGCCTACTATAACTGGGCAAATTTCCTTTGGCAAACAGGTTATTACTTACAGAATGCAACTTAAGAGCAGCTAGTCCTGCTTGCAGTTTGAGGTTGGAGGTACAGAGCAGTTCTGAAGGAAAAAACTCAGGGAAAAAAAGGAGCTGGAAATCCCGATGTTTCTGGTGGAATTTCCGAAACACCAGTTTGATTATTGAGGCTGGAATTCCAAATGCAATGACGGAAATATTAAGATTTATCAGCCATTTGTTACTTGGGTTTTTGAAAGCACTGTAGTTCCAAAGACATGATGACTGCACTATAGGCAAATTAAGTGTCATGATATAAGTCCTACAAGAATTTGGTAGATTCACTCCACCCCCCCCAGAAATCAGTGGCTATATGAGGTCAACACTTCCCACAGTGTGTTCCTTAAATGCTCACTCATATGGATCTGCTCACACAGAAAATGGGGATCCAGCACACCTATGGCTCTGGGGTGAGCTGTTATCTTTGGTTTTCCAGAGAAAAACCTCTGCTTTGTTTACCAGTGACCCTGCAGCTTTCTCAGCCAACACCCCAGACCTTGCAGTCATCACCCCAGACCAAAGTGAGGGGCTACTGAAGATGAAGGGCTACTCCATGGCTCGCAGTGTCCTACACCTGGGGCTGAAAAGGAAAATGCAGTAGTTGGGGGCTAACAGAGCCACACTGGCCGGGGACCAGCACGGGAAGCTCCAGTGTCTGGCTCTGGTCAGCAAAGTTTTGTGTACCAGAGGCGTGTCCGCTCCATCAGAGAAGGTTCCTGGCTGGATGCAAATGGAAGGGTTGCAAGGACCATCATGCTGCAAAACTTTCGCTATGTGACACAAATCAACCAAGGGTTCTGCAGTGCCAATACTGCCACGCCAAAACCGAGACACAAAGATAAATCCTGTGACCACCTGAGAACATTATATTTTTCAGGTAGTTTTGTGAGAATATTTTCAGTGTTTCTCCTTATGGGTGGCCACTGTTGGGTGACGGATTCATTGAAGTCCTCGTGCATGTAATTCTCAACAGATCTCATTCTGGGGATCTGTCCCAGCTGAGAAATAGACGTCACTTAGTACATAGACTCTGCCGTGAATACTCTCCACGTTATATCGCAAATAGGCAAGCTGGAGTAAAAAGGTGTATGTAGTGGTGAAGACTCATCAAGAAAAGGATTTGGAAGTGTATTCTTTTCTGTTGCTTAAATATTGACTTCTTCCTGCCAGCAAGGCTGTTGTAACAACTGAGTATGTAAAAAAACAATCACATAGCTGCTGTGAAAGCATCTACACATGCTTCCCCACTGAGTCAGCTGGACTTGAGGCATACACTAGGAGTGCCAAAATACCCAGGCTCTGGTCTAGCTCACTACTCTTTGATATCTTCTGGACAGAAAATGGTTGTTAAATGCACTGGAGCCAAACCATGTGTTTTTGATGTTGGCTTACATCCTCTTAGGGATTGGCTATACTCACTAGCCTAATTTGTTTCACCTTTTAACTGAACCAGGATCCTAGTCCAGGATGACCTTGGCTTTCTCCATCAACAGCTCCAAATCTTCAAAAATAATTTTTTTGTTCCATGTGCATGCAAATATTAGTGAAGGTAAATTTCAAAGAAGGACTGTTCTAGAAACAAGACTCCCATATGCTGTGTTGCATGTTGCATCTGGAGTTTTGGGTAGTTTCTAGGGAGTCTGTGGTTTAGACAAATTTTGACAGTGCTTGTCAGGAGTGATGTGGAACATGGCTTTCTAATTAAGATGTTTAAATACATCTGTGCAATAGAATCCAGCTTACTTGATTTTTAGAAAAAATTCTTGACTGTCTGTCAGCGTGTCAGATATCTTTCCCCCAGTTTTTCAGCTTTCCACTCTTCTTCCTTCCATCAGGGTCTGGGATCAATGTAGGATATCCCACAGACCTCTTACATATTGTGACAGAGCATCACACGGGCTTTTCTGCCAACCACAATTTTGAATAAAGTTCATAAAATCTGAAAGCCTTAACCACAAGACTGAAGACTCATTCCATAAACTGTCTCCCTGGCAGACAGAAATGAATTTTTCTACACAAAACAGAACAGCTTCAGCCACAGGTACTGAGAGACGTCTTCCCCAGAAAAACTTGACTATGGGGAGCAGCGGGTGACACACAAGAATTGATGTCTCCCTGGGTAGAGAATTAGTAGTGGGCCAGATCTCTCAGATGGACAAAAGCTCTCCTCTCTGTGCAGTAAAATTGCTGAGGGTATCAGGCACCTTCTCTTCCAGTTCTGTCTGTATGTGGCACAATCCAGTGGGCTCCCTCTGAGGATACCAAACAGGTCAAGTCTCAGTAGGAAGATACTGGGGAAAAATTTAGCTATGTGCTATGACAGGACAGCTATGAAGTAAGAGTGAGCTGTACAAGAGCCTATAGTGACAGGTATTGATGGCCTGAACACAGGCATCTAACATTTTGAACTCAGGCATCTGAGTTCAAATTGAGTTTTGAACTCAGGCATCTAACAGTGGAAGTTAGACACACAAAACTTTCCATTAATTCCATCAGTCAATTCTTGCAGCAAACAACGTGACCAACAGTGTGATTCCAGATCCCTCCCTGGAGGTCAATGTGAGTCTGTTCAGCATCACTGAGAGTGGCTGGAGAAACAGCCATGCAAAAGCACGGATCCTTTTTTAACCTCTGTGCTACCATTTATTTGAAAAGCAGAATTTCCATCACACATGGAATTCTGTCACTTCCACATTTGTCTTCATGCTGATCCAGAAGGAAAACATGACATTTTGAGATTTTTGAGATAAAGAGTATCTCTAACCTCAGTGAATTTCATTTTTAGTGAAGCAGATTTCTTTCTTCCTATAATTGGAGGAATAACATTAAATGCAACAAGCGAATACACCAAATTGTGTTTTGACACAGTGAAATTAAATGAGTACCCTGGGTGAAATAATTGCAGCCTGTCAGCATGAATTGCTGAGAATATTCCTGCAGAACATTTCAGTTTGAAAGAACCTGAATGTTCAAAGGAGATGTCACCAGAAAAAGCATTACACGTGCATCCCTGCACTAGGCTCTCCAGATCTGAGGCTGGGTCCTTGGGTTATTTCAATCCTAACTCAAAAGCAAAAGGAGGGTACATATAGGAGCAATTAAAGGCCAGGGGAAGTTTCTAAATGCATTATTCTCTACTTGTAAGAAGACAAGTGGAAGCAAAAAGGTTTGGGATGAGGGTTTTTCTTTTTTAAAAGAAGAGTGATGTTTCAAGCTAGCGACGTTTCTGTTTAGCCCCACACTTACGAAAGCAAGAATCCTGTATCAGCACCCCATTAATGCAAAATCATGTTCCTACATCTACAGAATGTCTTGCACTTGCTGACTCTGAAGGTGGATCAAGTCCAAAATCCTGTGCACCCAGAGTGAATGAAAAGCTTAGGCCAGCACAGATGGCCAAGAAACCTGGGCTCAGCCCAGGATGGATGTTTGCCAGAGTCTATTACCATGAGCTTGGTAACAGAGGTCCATGAACTTGAGTTGCAATCTGCTTACAATCCATACAGAAACGTAAGGAAGAGATGCCATTCTTACATGATTTTAAAATATATTGCCATCCTCTTTATGGGTACAAGAACGACATGTCAGTGACAGCTCCAAATACTTAAATTTAATCTCAGTTGTTGTAAAACATGCAAGTCTGGTAAAGACATGGCTGATCAGTGTTCATACCTTTTGCTTCAGCTGTAAAACCGTCTGCTTTATTTGATGAAATTCCTTACAAGAGGCACAGCATGTCCCTGGTTTCGCCACATTTTCAGATTTCTCTGGAAGCACAGCTGAAAGAAAGCAGCTTCCAATATAAATATAAAGATCCAAAGGAAAGAAGTTCATAAAGTGACTGCAAAAGCAACTTGAAGGCTGTTACATTTCCCCAGACTGTGAAAAGAGAAGAGAATCTTACCATTATTAAATCTTTGACTGTGAATTCCTATGAAAGGCTGAGAAACTTCACAGGGACAGCACTAAGCTCTTTTTAAAGCAGCTGTTTTCAGTTAACAGTCCCCAAAGAATTCATTTTTTTAATACCTGGAAAAGTTTACACCCCTTCTTTTATCTTTGTGTTTAGGGTAGACTAACCCCATAGATCTGAACCAATTTACAGTCCCCTGAAGGGCAAATTTTCATATGCCATAAATTACAGTAAAATCCCTCACAATATGGTAATTTTGTTCACTTTGCACAAACTGCTCTTTATCATTGTGGGTTATTCTCCATGCATGGAATCAGCCTGAGCAGAGACGGGGATTGAGATTAATGACAGGGATTTAAATCCACGCAAGAGAAAGGGTCACATCTGTTGATACTATGCATGAACGGGATCTTTTCAGGAATCCATTAAATGATTCAAACTGTAAGAGATATTGCAAATGTTATTTTTGTCCTTTTCCCAGTCCCATACACAGTCAAGCACTTCTGCATCGCAAACAAACAAGCATTGTTGTAACAGATGTCTGCTTAAAAAGAAATCTGGTTTCCAAACCACAGGGTGACACATATTGGCAAACTCCAGGTGAACTTTTTCCCTTCCACATACAGTTGCTGAGAAGCATCAAGTGGCTCTGCATAAAATGTGTGGCCCTGTACGATGTTACCTGGGCAGGTTATCAGGCATGTTTGAAGTCTGACATTTCAGGGCACGTCCAGCAATGGAACAACTCTTCAGGTGCTCCTGATTACAGCCAGGAAATCTTCAAAATCTTCTGAAAGGATCAACTGCAATGTGCTTAGCTATTGTGTTATACTTCCCACTTGGGCACAGACTTACATGGCCTTCATCTTTTCAGAAATATGCATTGATTCTGAAAACATCTGCATCTTTTTAAATACATCCAGAAGTTTCTAATACTAAAGATATTATGTAGTACTTGATTTTAAGTGTTTGCAGGGTCTAATAAGGAAGAATCTGATGGTTATCTATGGACCACCTACGCACAATTCTAGGGAACGTTTTTCAGTGTGTGTTGTCCATTGAGTGTAATGACACATCAGGTAAGCTTGCTTTTAGAAGAGAAAGATTTGTTTCTTTTATCTTGTAATCAGGTAGGAGAGAGCTGTAAGGGCAAGATGCTGGAACGACCAGAAGCCTTAAGACTGATATGAGTACTGAACTGATCAGAAGATTGGGAGGCAAAGGCTTGAAGGTTTTCCCCACTCATCAACTACCTGTTCCCACAGCTGCACTCCAAGATTACATATGTTATTTACCATATTTATGGCAGCAAGCACACCCTGCTGTTTGAGCTTCACAGCCCTTTCTGAAAACACAGACTTGGTACCTGAACAGCTTTCTGTGCAGTGTTCAGATGGCTCAAAGATTTAAGGCCAGAAGGTACTACTTGGTGTTTTCCAGTGAACTCTACATAGCATAGAATAGAATTTCATCAAATCAAGCTACACTGAATCCAAGGCTATTTGGCAAAAAGAACTCTCAGAAGAACTCCAGCATTTGTATGAAGATACCTGAATACACAGCATTTGCTGCTTTCCTTCCTCTTCGCTGTATTCATAGTGCTACTCATTTTGCCTTTGACTCCCTCCAAAGCCTCTTTGCCCATAAACCTTTTTCTGGTAGATTAAATAATCTACACTATGCAGGGCTTTTTTTCCTTAACTAGGAATTGATGTGCTTTAATCCAGATACCTATTGACATTTCTATAAAATAAATTTTCTCTTGACCACAAGGCGGTTTTGTGGGGTTCTTTCTCCCTCTCCAATTTTTCATCTTCCTTTAAAAAAAAAACCCTGTATCTTGACATGTCCATTTTTGGACCTGTGTAGGATTTACAGATATATATAAATAGAACTGTTAGGAAAAAAAGCTTTTTTTTTTCCTTTTCAAATGCCAATAAAGTCTGTGTTTGGTACTAGTCTCAACCAAAATTTGTTTTAATAGCTATCTCACCAAATGAGTTCTGTCATATTGTATTAAGAAATGTTGCTGAAAACAACATACCGTCATAGGGAGAAACTGCCAGAGTCTCTGCTATTTGAAACCTAATGTAATCCCACTAGAATCAGTGGAATTATGAGCAGATTAGGAAGCGGTAAATTTGGCCTTGTGTTTCATTATGAAAGCCAGTTTATCTTCCAGAAGGATGCGGCACACGGGGCTGACAAGTTCAGATAAAAGAGGGCTGTAACAATCCGTGGAGATGAATGCTGGGGGGATCAGCAAATGTTTGGGAAATATCATACCAGTGAGATTTCTGCAAATCCGGTTGGATTGACTTGTCGGAGGAAGAAGTCCAACATCCTCATATAAGCAAGCGTGAGCTGCATCCCAGGAGAGAGGTGGAATCCCCCTAACTCATACCAGACAGAGGTGATGATTTGCCCAGGGAAGGAGTCATCCATCAGACATTCACTCTACCCGCATCCAATCCTGTATCAGGACCAGACTACGAGTAAAGCCAAAATAAAGCATGGATAAAGCCAGAAGCCACCTAGGACAGGCCAGAGGGGGCAGGAAGCTGTTAGATGGAGCCACCCACGCATGGTGCAGAAACAGAGGTCACCTACCATGCACTGAGCAAGGCACTCACAGAGCCTGTTTCCACTGCACAAACCTATACCAGGAAACTAAAGTCATTTTGGAGAAGGCTTAAACCCTCCCCATTTTTATGAAGGCTTTCCAAAGCGTGAAGTCCAGTTCATACATGATGTTGCTGTCCTGACAGGGGTCCTTTAATCTTGGTGAGATGCTGGTAAAGCCAGTGGCACCTATAGTTAAGAGATCCGCTCAGAGAAGTGGTGTGTTTTCTTTCCATGTGCTTGGAGGCTCTGCCTTGCTGATGCTGGAAGAGAAGGAGATGCTGGCAGGGGAGAGCTCTGCGGGAGCTCTGCTGCGGGCGCTCTGTGCGTGGAGTTGATCATCTGTGTTGTATTATCTGGGCTCAGCCTGCTGAGATGGTTTCATTTGCCTACTTCTGCACGGGCAGCTGTACTGTCTCCGTCAAATGCAACGTGACTGCAGATGCAGGAAAAATGCTCCCTATTCTTCTGTCCGCGAACCAACGCCGAGCTCTCAGTCAAGCCACTTACAGAGCCAAAAAAGTGTCCAAATTGCAGCCTTCAGGCATGGAACAATGACAACATGAGTATGATCTCTCCGGAAACATGCAACATTGTTAGAGATGGAGAGGGATGCGTGTGTTTTTGTCTCCCACAATATTAAATATTAAAACAAAATCGGAGTGTTCCGGCTACTATGAAAAGCAAATCATCTGTTCATTTGGAAGTCGCTCAGGCCCAGATGCGGTGCAGGGCTGGGATTTACCACGGGGTGGTGCATCACTACAGCTGGTTCCTCACGAAACCCTTTCCTTTGGAATGAGTTATGGACACAAGTCCTGGGAAATAGCGATAGCCAGCTCCTCCCTCATTTTCACCAGAGGTCTGACAATTAGTAACATTAATGTTGAGTACTGCGGGGTAACTGAGCAGAAAGCATCCTTCTCTGCTTCACACAGATGATTTGGGAACTGTCTCAAGAGATGGTGGGTGTTCCATTCCAGATTAACTACCGGAACTGACATTTTTATGTGCCATGTGCGGTCAGTGTAAAATTGGTGTTTTTCAAATATTAGAATTATTTCCACAGCCTTGTATATTTGAATGGTTGGTTATCCTGAATGCTTTAGACATTACTCTATCAGGAAATTTGAACTACCCAGAGGAAAAATTAAGTAAAAAAAAATATTTGTAAGGAGATTATAGAAGTTATATCTCTTTCCTTTATGACCCATGCACACACACTTATGAGGAAAAAAGAAACATTTGAAAATTACCAGGAACAATTACATTTACCAGAGTGGCTCCAGTTACACATTTTCAGAGGAAAATCAAAATTATAAATTGCTCTGGCCATCCAGGGGGATTTGGAGCACTCTATGATACCATGTTCAGGCATTAACTGATGAATATTGTAAGCCACCATTCATCAAAAGATGTTGGGTCTTTTTTTCAGAGCACAGGGTGTTTGCTTCTTCCTTTCTTTTTAAATTTTCATATCAGTATTTAATCTTCAGTACTCTCAATGCTGTAATTTAATGACTGGGATGAGGTCAAAACCTGTAAAATCATTTATGCACAGCACATGTATGTACTTCGAAACCAACAGTGAAATGATATCCCTCACTTCTGCCCCTTTCCCATCACATTTTATTTTCTTAAAAAATAAAATGAAAATAAAAAAAATCTGACCACAGTCACGAGACACACAAACTAATTGCAGGTCAGCAGAATTCAGTGTTACTCAGTGTAATTTAGAAACTGATTTAAGCAATGCTTGAAATATGTGTTGAACTTCCAGACACACCTTTTCTGAGCCTCTGAGTGCCAAGGGGCACTAACAACCCAATCCAGGGCCATTTACTAATCTCAAACGTAGGCATGCAAATACAAATTAAAGTTAGTGAAATTATTTAAATAATGAAGGTTTGTCGGGGTCATCATCTGGTAATTTTTTTTCCCTGTGTCTCCTGAGCTCTGGGCCACAAAATAGGTATAATTCAGGTTGGTATGGGAGCAAAATATGGCTTTTAGCAGCCGTATCCAGCAGAAATGGTCTAACTGAAGATGTAATGCCAAATTTCACTGTTCAGCCATTCTGCCTCTCCAGGGGAAGATTCTTTCCACATCCCTCAATGCAACTGTGCATTGGAGCATAGCATGTGGCAGGACTGCTCCACAAGTGCTCAGCTGCCCAGTGAGCAGCTCGGGTTCTCCAGGAGCATCAGCTACATCCCAGCTTTGGACCCTCAGCTCCAGGGAGCAGTTCTTCTTCATCAAAGATCAATCCTTTAGATGTCCCTTAAGCCCAGGACATTTAACCTCCAGTAGCCCCTACCTTTATCTCCTTTGGTGCACGTCTTGCCATCCTCCTCCCGGATATAGCCCTCGTGACACTCACACCTGTAGCTGCCCAAGGTGTTGACACAGATCTGAGAGCACAGAGTCCCGTTGCTCGTGGCACACTCATCGATATCTGGGGAGCAGCAGAAGTTAAAAAATGTCCTACAGCTGGAGGTTTCAGGCCTCAAATACAATAAAAGGCTTCCTTTAGAGGTATAAAGAGATTTTAGTAGTTAAATATAGCTGCACTATTAGCACACCCGGCATTTTATCAGTGAACACTGCTGCACCATTTCCTTGCATCAAAAAGCTCACAAGCAAAGCTCAACCCTGCAAACCTTGGCTCCCTGGCATGGCAAACCACACAGGGCAGGGCAGGGCAGGACTAGCCACATGAGGACCACATCTAAATGATCAGTCCTGAATTAGATACTGGCCATCTGAATCAAACCTGAAGGATTAGTTTTCATAATTAGGCCTGATTATAATGCTTCAATATTCCACAAACATAGCTCACAACCTGCAAGAGGAATTAAAGGAAAAATTGCATCAGCCCAACACTTTGAAGTGTTTGAGTATATGTGTTTTGTTGTAGGTAATACCTTCTAATAATTTCAGGGGAATCTAGATCTCTTAATTCTGTTAAGCAATCCTTAACATAGTTAAAAAAGTAAGAAAGATTTCAGACTTAAACTGGTTCCTGAAAGACTCAGGGGAGCAGGATACATCATTAACCAGGGATGAGCTCAACATGCACTTCTACCCACCCAGGCAATAAGGCTTCTCTCTGTTCCTGTGCCTCTCGCGATCATAGCGGTACCCAGGGTAGCAAGTGCATAAGACTCGCCCAAAATTATCTGTGCATTGCTGTTCACAGGGAGCTTCAGCACAGACGTCATAGTCTAGAGAGAGAAAAACACGATTAGGAAAAGTTCCAGCAGCAGTAGCTGAATGACACTTTTACACCTCTCTGCTAATTAATATAAAGTTGAGTCGCATTGTTTTTAAGGACTGAAAATACAGACATAAAACATTCATGAGACATAAGCAAAGAATTATATTAAAATTGTAATTGCTTCTCACATCTTTACTGTAGTTAGACTGTTTCTTAAAGCTAGATTTTAAGCAAGGGTCACTTTTGCAGTTGGCAGAATTTAAGAATTCTTTTCGCAGAAATATTAAATTACCTAAAACGTTTTTTGTTGTTTTCTTCTACAGATTTTTAAGTGCAGATAGCAACATTTTCCTATGCAGAATACTGTGAAAAACCACAAGGCTAATTGCCAAATCCAGGCAGAATGTATATTATAAGGAAAAGTTAATTAAATCATACAGTAATTGTTCAAAGCCAGATATAACCCTTCTAGCAAAGAATGTATTGTTACAAAACCATCATCACTCTTAATAACAGCGATGTGCAGATTAGGGTATGGTAAAATCACTGCCTGGCTTTGTCAGTGAAATCCCAAAAGACTGAAGTCCCTGTTTGAAACCCGAAGGAAGGCAAATCTGTTTCTGATTTCACTGCTATGTAGCAGCAGAGCTGAAGTCTGAGGAATGGACAGCAGAGCACAGCAGAGTCTGACCCACATCCCTGCCCTGCCAGGGGATGGGTTTGGCCCCTGGCATTGTGCTGTTGACAAGGTTGAGGGTAGAAGGGCAGCCCCTGGCTGTGTGTGCAAAGGCTTTGCAGTGCCATGGGGAACATCTGCCAGGAGAAGCCCAGAGCTGAAGCAGCATCTGGTCTCAAAAACAGCTCAGGCACACCCTGCTGCTGACGGTCAAGTTTTACACCAAAGCAAGTGGCAGTTTCTGTGGTTGTTTCAGAGAACATCATTCTGCACGGAGGATCCATGTGGCTGTGATCCTCCAGTGACTGGGTGCTGAGACCACAGCACAAATACCCTCCTCATGCTCCAGACCAAACGTATCTAAACCAAACCTAAGTGGTTCAGCCGAGTTCTCAGCAATGCACTGTGTTTCCATATACACAATTAAAACGCAGACTCGTTATTGACTCACCCTAATGACTAGCAGACATCTCTGGGTACAATGACTGTTCCAAACAATTAAAATGAGCTAATAGATGGTAAAGCAAATAAAACCATATTTTCTGTATGAAATACACAGCACACATGTGTAGCAATGGGGTTAAAAGTGACAGTGTGCCAAGGTACAGAAAAGCACCAGATGAGATTTAAAAAGCTGCTGTGTTTCACACCAGAGCCCCATAGACAAAAACAGAGTATTGTAATGGTGCCAAGCATTTCCTCCCTTCTGCTTGTCACCTTTTGAATAGCAGGCATCCTTTCTTTCCTTCTTACTTCACAACTGTGTTGACTTTAGCTCTTGAAGTCTGAATTCTTGAGCTCTTGAAGCTCTTGAAGTGAGTGGCAGTGCCAGGATCCCCAGCAGTAACCAAGGTCAAACAGTGCAGGGCCATGGAAAGAAAACATAGCTCTTACCTTCAAACTGGCCAGTCTGGGGGTCTAATTTGGACTTTTTAGGTGATGCTGGGGCTGTAAATTCCTGTTACATTTGGCACTACTAAACAGTCCCAAATATAAAGCACTGCTGGTGTTTTTCCTGGGCACAGCTGTGATTTCCATTTTCCACTGAAATGAAGTCAGAGTGAGAACAGGCTAGTGTGCCCTGCACAGAGGTGAACATTCCTGCTCCTTAGCCAGTGTACCTGTGCATTTGCTGGTGCATTTGCTGGATTTGGCCTGTCCCATGTTCAGCTTCTCAGAGCAGAGGTAAAATGAGCTCTGGTCTCTCTGTGCTTTCATGAATAGATGTGCCCTAACAAAATCATAAAGAACAGTTCTGGAAGGGACCATCTCCCACCACAAGTAGGATTAGCTACGCGTAAACTTTTCCTAGTTTCTTTTTTCCCTCAGGGGTTGATGTGGTCCACCATGTAGTCTATTCCCTAGATGAAATACCTTTGCAGGCAGAAAGCTTTTTACTCATATCTAATCCAAACTCCCCTTTTAGCCACTTAGGCCCATTATTTTTGTCTTCTTCTCCTTGGCCATAAAGAACAGTTTATTTCCCCCCTTGCAGCAAGTTTTCACATACCTAAAAACTGTTATCACGTCTCCCCTCAGCCTCCTTTTCTCTAGACTAAACAACGCCAGTTCTTTTTATCAGTTTCTCTTTCACCATATTTCACGTAACTGGTCTTTAAATATGGTTTTCATGTCCACCCCAGCACAACTTCATCATGACTATTGCCTCATTTACCTTCATACAAAGCTGGGGAAGGGTCCAGGGGGTACAACTACCTCTGCTGATGGTCACACACAGTCAACCTATATCACACAACGGCTGCGGGCAGGTCCCATGTCGCAGAGCTGTGCACTCCCAGGGCTTTTGTACCAGGAAGCCTGACTTGCACAGAAAGAGTCCTCGCAACTGGGATGAAATTAGGCAAAAGCTGCTGCACCACCTCTGTGTGCTCTGCAGAACTGAGGATGCACATGCATGTTCAAACCCCTTGTCTGTCAGCCCAGCCTAAGAAACATGGTTTGAGAACAAATCGAAACCACACAGTGAAGGTCAGGCTGTTCCAGGAAGAACCAATGCAAAACTGAAAGCAGAATAATAAATGTCCCTACGTGTATTTCAATGACCTCAGAAATGACAATGCAATCATTTCTGGGAACAGGAAAGTTGTACCAAGGAAATTTTCGAAACACCATTATTGAGGGAAGAGCAGATCTGATTGCAGCTCACCTGTAATAGAGTATTTTGCTCTGTGCTCCCCCACAGCCAAGAAACTCAGGTAAAGCAGTGGTAGGGAGGGTGCTCATACTACATTTGTCCCTTCCTCACTCTATCACACCATGAAAGAGCACATGAGACAGGATTTGGTTGGAGCTGTGAGTCTCCAAAGCAAAGAAGAAGGAGATCATACAGGAGAAAAAGTGGGTTTTGACCTTTTCTGATCAGATGGAGGAGGAAGAGATGCTAAAAAGAGAATCAGACACACAGAGGAAACTCCACTGGATGTTTTTCCTGAGGATCATTGCTTCCTGCTCCTGCAGCTGAAAGCCAGAACAAGAAGGTGAGTACAAAACAAATGAAATGCAGAACATGGGGGCGTGGACTTATACTGGACTACACTGATTTCTGTTCAAGGGCAGATGAGAAATAACAGGATAGAAACCAATAATGCACATGGACAAAGACACAACCCTTTGGGAAACAGTCTGTTTAAATAACAGCTGTCCTAGAAGGAGATTGGTGTTTTTCCACAGCAGCTGTAAACGGGTGGACAAGGGAGGGTCTCTCCCTTTGCTGACCCTCCTCCCTGCAGCCACAGCTAAATCATGGAGAAGACAGGGATGGAAATATTTCTCACAGTTAAGATGTGCCAGTACTGGATTAAAAGGTGAAGATGCGCTCTAATAAACTCACATCTGTAATGCATTTATGTGCCTGTGTCGAGATATGAATTTCATACAGCTACTCTGTCAAGATTATGCCAAAACAATGTGTGAAGAGCCAAGTGATGTCTTGTAACAGAGTAAGTGAAACGAATACTTCAGTGAATCATGTTTCTCGTCCCTATTCCAATGGCCTGAGATTGTCTCGGATGTTTCAGCAACTGCTGCGGCCTCCGAAGTTCAAGGCAAAATACAGATGGAGCTGGAAAAGGGGCAATGAAGAAACAAAGGGAGGGAAGCCACAGCCAGCAGAGAAACTGAATTAGTAGCAGAAACTCTCAGGTTACTGAGATGCAGTTAATAACAGGATTAAGTGAAGTCAGTGGGTACATAATAAAAGCTGCTTTCATAATCACCTAAAATCTCAAGAGATGAAAATCAGAAGCCAAAATAATATATTGCCATGGCTCACATTTTATTTTTGCTCCTATTACTTCTCCTGCTGTATCCATTATATTTAGTGAATAACCAGTCTATAAAATTGTTAAATCCATAGGAAAATGGGAGGCCAGACTGTAGAGTCCTGGCTTTTCTCCACTCTGAAAGGATTTCGGACTTCTGCCTCCAACACACACAACCACCTTCTCCAAGTGTCAGTTTCCCACTGGAGCTGTCACTTCTTGCCACACACAGTGAGACAAAACTCACTGCAAAACCATAGGACAGGGAACTTGGTGTGAGCATTGATTTCACACACACTATACCCGGTTTCTCAGGGCTCAGACTGGCCCCGTGAGCTGTTTCTTTGCAGGGAAGCAGCAAATACAGAATTCTTGTTTTGAGAAGACTGAGGGGGGGAGGGTGGTGTGTTCCTTTTTTCGTTGTTGCTTTTTTATTTGTTTGCTTGCTTGCTTTAGTTTTTGTTTGTGTTTGGGGGTGATTTTGTTTGTTTGTTTGTTTGTTTGCTGGCTTTGTTTTTTTTTTTGTTGTTTGTTTTTTTTTTGCAATGAATGCTTTAGTGTTTCCACCCAGCAGCAAAGAAGACACAAATTTACAAAAAACAAACAAACACACGAAACCCCCCAAAACCACTCCCCTCCAAAAAAACTCAATGGAAAAAACCCCAAAAAAACCAAAACAGCAGGATTAGAGTTTGGATTATAATCCCTATTGGCTGGAGACTGTAACTCAAAAAACAGACAACTCTCTCCATGTTCATTTGTCACTTTTTTTTTTCCCCCAAAACATTACCATTCCAAACTGGGAAAATTCTCAGGCCAACTCAAGGCTTTTCTTATATCATCAAATAGAAGGTTGTGTTGCCTTAAACTAGCTTTTTAACCTGCTTTTTGGAGAAGAAAAGGTTTATTGGCTTGTTGTTTCTGGACATTTGCTCCTGCCTGGCTGTTCCTCTACTTCTACAACTTCATAGCCAATTTCATTCAAGTCAGTTCCCTTTTTACTACTGCGTGAACCACCCTGATTAAATCTACATCTTCCTCAGCCCCTGTTGACAAGGAAGCCATGCCCATGACCAGGAGAGGTGGCAGAAGAGAGACTCTATTTGTTGATGCTCTCCCCTCTCAGATGTCTTTGGGAAATAGGTAACTAAAGGGCAAGACTAACTCACCAAGTCACCCCCTCCCTGTGCACCAACAAGCCAAATCAGCTGTACCAGATCCAAGGGATAAATGGGAAAAACCACGAAACATGTGCTTCTGGGTGCACAGAGCACTCCTGCCTACCTAGCCAAGGGCAGAACATGTCCCCCTGTTTGCAGCAGGTCATGGCATAAGATCCGTGTAGCCACGTGTACTTAGGGAAGGATGAGGCCTTGGCATACTAAGCAAGACTTTTGGAAGTTGCTGATCTTTTTATTTTCCCAACAATTTCTTGGAAACAGTTCCCCCCCTACACGGACACATGAGATACAGCTGAGCCTGCAGTTATATCAGGTTGCTCTTCCAAACTGGCAATGTGGAAAACAGGATAAATGGGGAAAGAGAAATGCATGGGGACATAACGGGTAAGAACAGTGAAATCACATACCTTCAGGGATGCACTGTCCAAGAACAAACTTATAACCCTTACAGCATTTTTTCCTGAAAAACAATAAAATAAATAAATGAATAAATAAATATATTCTCTAAAGGTTGGTGCTGCCTTTAAAAAGGTCATAGATAGATCATGGATCTGATGAACCAAACAAGATGAGGATCCTGAGCACTGTAGTTGGAGGTATCTCAGCTTTAAAGGATGCAGCATGGAAACGCACCACTTGGTCCATGAGGCACTTAAATGGCACCATGTTCAGCCACCTCAGCCACCCAACATCAACCTCCCCAACATCCCAAGTGGTTTCCAAAAACCCTGCTCTCTTGTGTTGACAGGATGCAGCACACCTCTATGCTGTCCATATACACAACACAGGTCATCATTTTCACGCTACAGTGAAGAGTGTTTTCAAACATCCATCATCACAATGTAAACTTGCAGAAAGGGGTAAGTCTCAGTGAGGAGTACACAGAGGATAAATGTTATCAGTCATTTCTCATCTTTCAACAAACCTGGAAGTGGTAAGTGAAATATATGGGGTATTTCAACTGGTATCTTATATTGGCTGGGGGACAAAACTGAAGTGAAGCGTCAATAGGATTGGATACTTTTTATGTGCCTATAATACGAAAAAAGTCTGAGGGCTGAGAAATTATTGTTTCTGACACACTGGCCTGTAATGACATGTAGGCATCCAGCTATACCTGCTGGTTTGCCTTCTATTCAGGAAAACACATTAAGTCACCAGGACTCACAGCAGTGCACTGGAGACTCTATAAATGGGTCTGTTCCTTATCACCCTGAGAGTTTCTTGCTGCAGGAACCTGGTGACCTTCAAAAGGTCCCATGTTGGTGACCAGCACGACTGCTGCAAAAGAAAACTGCTGCTCAGTGCGCTATGATATCAAGTACACATGAGTCCAGGAGGGAAAAACCCCTGTATTTTACAAATTCACAGTTTTTCATGCCTTGTGGATGTGCTGAAATATCTGCAAAACCGGGAAACCATCCATTTGGTCTTTTCCTTTAATTCAATAACAGATGCAGAAGAGTGCTAAAGCCATGTCAGTCAATGTCACAACACTCCCCTAGAAAACATGCAGCCATCACAAATCATCATTATGTTGAATTTAAATCAACTATCAGTTGCAATTGACCTCCTAAAGCAAACAATGCATTACTCCAAACTATGTAAAAACAAACTTTGGCTCCATATTTTACTCTCTTCCAAGATTAGCTGGAATATAAATTATGCTTAATGAAGGTTGAACATCTGAAGAGGAAGCCTTGCTTTGTTATGCAAACAGTGGTCCCTCATTAGACTTCTCTCCAAACACTGCTGAGAAGTTTTATCTGCAAGACAAACAAACGCAGAAGGAATGAGTTCAAAGGTGCATTGGGGAGGCTGTTCATATGCTGCAAGCCATGCTGATGGCTTTCCAAGTGCACATCCATCTCCTCCTGTCTGCAGAAGAAGTGAGGCTGATAAAAGTTTGCCTGTAGCTGCTCTTCGGAGGAAGATACAGCCTGACTTGAGAGGGCTGGAAGATAAGAAAGGAGAACATCCCTGGCATGAGATGCTGACCTGTGGGGTTGTGCCAGCCAGAAGGAACCAGAAATAGGGAGCAGCAGCTTCCATCATGTCTACCCTTCTCCATGGAAGATTTTCAGGCTTAGGACCCTTAGGACTCCCACACTGGGAGTGGCTTGTGGCAGCACATGGCAACTGCAGCCATAGAGCCTGCTCCTGGGTGAGGGCTCACCTGCTGGGAACCTTGCAGGAGCTGCCTCTTTCCTCTCAACCTGTACAGCAGTGGCTTTTGGCTGGGCTTGTTGGCTTTCTTGTGGATAAACTGAGGCTTTATCCTCCTGAAAGCCAAACCACTTGCCTCAATCAAACCTTGGTCAAACAGCCGCACATTGAGAACTGACCACATGCCAAGTTACAGCCACTAGACACCGCTCTGGTACCCTGATACTGCCCCAAAGCACAAACAGCCTTCCATAGCCTTGTCCAGGATTGATCCACTTAAAACAACCAGAAAATCATGCTCAACTGGCAGATATCCAAGTCCTTGCTGAAATCCCTCTCTTCAATGGCTTCTTGCAGCGATGAGTTCCACAGGGGGATAAGATGTTTTTGAGAAACCATTTCCTTGCTTTCAGTCTCCCTCTCAATTTTTTGTTGACTTTTCCCAGTTTACTGGTAAGGAGAGTTGAAAATATTTTCTCTACAACTTAAAGATCTTTCTGCACCATGGAAATTTTAAATGTCACTGAAGGGAGTGGTTTAGAGGAGGGATGCTCTGCTTTCAGGACCACACTCCAGAAACCAATTTCCCATGTTAATTTGTTCCCAGCTGAAGATTACAGATCTCTGCATTAGTACTCGACAGCAAGCTTGAGCCATCAGCACAGTTTTGCCAGGGAAACTGCTACTTTAGGGTTAATGCACAGGAAATACAATACGACAATACCTATTTCTCTGAACACTACATTGCAACCCTGGGATTCCTGCATGCTTTGGCTTTCTAAATTCTTAAAGAGAAATCGGTCAAAATGATGGACATATGAGCATTAGCAAAGGCATTTTAATAGCAGCACTCATTTTCAGGCATCTAGGTCCAGGTTGACATGTCTAATCAACGTTGCACAGCAGCAATCTTGTTGTACATAATGAGAGGTAAGAGGGGGTTCCTGATAATTTTAGCTACTGAATAACTTTCAGCAAGGTGGTTGCTATGCAGCTGTACACGTGAGCATGCATGAAACACAAACACAGGGCTGCGTAAGAAGCTCCTCCAATAAAATCTGGATCTATGGGGAAATTAAGTTGATTTATTAACCTCAAATCTGGCTTACAAAAGAAGAAACTTCTGGCAGACATATCTGTTACAGCTTTTAATGAGGTACTTCGGCAATTAAAAATATACCAGCTCCTGATTCTCATGCAATCTTCACTCAGGAATATGCACAAGCCCAAATTCACGGGGTTTTGGGCATCACAATTTTGACCCCTGCAATGTCTAGCTTTTGTGTTGCCTGTATGAAAATCCATAGGAATAGGGATTCGCTCAAAGCAAAGTCACCCTTGTTTTTTTTTCTGACAAAAAAAGTTGCAGGAAATGCAGGGAGATGTTCAGCTACTCCCCTCTGCTCTGGAGGCTGAGATACTCCTGGATCACCGAATGCCAGAAGATGGGATTTAGGGTCAAACGTTTGATACCAACAAACACACGTGCGACTAGATAAGCTGCAGATCTGCCTTTGTTGCAGGCTTTTGTGGCCCATCACCTTGCAAACTGAGAGGGGAGCTGACCTTTACAGGAGCTCCCCCATGTCCCATCACCCGCTGGTCCCCCAGAGTGCCCAACACACAGAGTGCACCAGCACAACACCCCTCCCCACCCTGCAGAGCAGTAGCTGCTCGATAGCATCGCCTCAGACAGGCAGAGCGAAAGGCAAGATGCAAGGAATGCAGCTTAATTAAGCCACCACTTTATTAAGTTAGCTTATCAGGCAGCTATCAGCAGTAACTCATCCAGCACAGACCATGTTTTTTTCCCATAATTGTTTCCACCTGGTGCAGAGCTGCCATCACCCCCGGCCCACCTCCTGCTCTGCACGGGACACCGCAGCCGTCCTGGAGAGACTGACCAGGGAATACTCTGGGTGAGAGGGAAGGGAGTCACTCAGGCTCCTACAGCTGCTGAAATGCTTCTGAAATGCAGACAATAAGAGGATAAACATTTTAAAGTGATAATTAACCTGCATCTGTCTGCAGTAACATGGCAGTGACTTGGGCTGTAACATCAGCTGCTCAGTGCATTATTAAGGTTTTGGATAACACCAGCAAAGAGGTAACTCTAAAACTCTGTCACGAGTTACTTTGAAAAAGACACGTGATGATCTTTCAGTGACTGAAAAGGGGAAGGCAAAGGGGAAATGCAAAGGGAAGAGGAAAGAGAAAAGTTTTAAACCCATTTCAGACAAAACTTAATATGGTAACAAAACTCTTGGTAAAGATGTCAAAAGTAGAAAGTGATGAGTCTGCTCTAGGAAATATTTGCCTCCTGAGAGCAAAGCAGACACAGAAATCTCTATGCTGAGTCAGAAAGTGAGTTCTTAGGATAAAATATTGCTCTTATTTTATCCCTACAATGCTGACAGACAGTCAGCCTCCAGGCTGGCTCCTCCTAGACAGAAGTAGTTCAAGCAGAGGCACTTTACCTCCCATTCACTGAGGCTAGGGGCGCACACAAGGACAGTTTCTAGAGCTCAGCTGAGGCCTGAGGTCGCTTTACTGGTGCAGCAAATCCACAGGTGGTCAGGCAAGTCAAATCCCTCCTCTCTGAAATGCTTTTCCTGGCCAACGAATGTCAGATCAGTCACAGTTTAGGGGGCATAAAAGATGCTTAAGATTTTATGTAAGTTTAAATATGTCGACACTGTTTTCTCCCAAGTCGGTGCTGGTAGAAAGTAATGATAATATGCTCAAGAAAATGTCTCTAATAAAAAAGCAATTTCCTATTGAGTACATTTTTTTTTATACCAGAGTTCTTCAGCCTATGTCATAACATGAACTCAGAAGAACTTGTGCTGTGTTTTGAAGACCTGAGTCAGCAAAGGCCATGGCATGGTGTTTTTAATTCCACAAAGGGGTCTTTGTTAGAGCCCCTCCTTATCATGTCTGCCCAGTGTTTCTTTTTTTGATCACACCAGCTTTAAAAAGTACACAGTGTAGCAAAAATGCAAATATAAAATACAGCAATTAACTTATAAAAAATAATTAGACAGCTATAAATGCAAACCAATAAGGTACATTAAAAAAGAAACCTAAAAAAACCCCAAACCAACAAAAAACCCCAAAACCCCAAAGTCTTATTTTTATCATATCCTATATAAAATTCAATTGAGGTACAGGTTTGTCTGCCAAAGCATGCACAGGCAAAGCCCATCTGCAGTGCCAGTGTTTTAAGGAAGCAGCTTGGTAGCTGTGCACAGTTTCACCATGATTTACACGGAGAGAAGATTTGTGTCAACATGG